TACAATAGATATAGTAGTTGAGATTTGAAAATATTCAAAAAGAATTCTAATGTATCCGTACCGTGTTTGAATATAATCCTACTCTATCTATACTATGTTTAAATAGAGTCATAACTCATTTATTATCTTATCACTAGCCTTTTGGAGTAGATAGAATCAACATCCCTTTTATATATTTTTGGAGAAATTTAGAGAATACCAGTTATGATATTGTCAAAGATAATCGCAACTAGATGTGTCATGGACATTCATAATGCTTCATTTGCCCTAGTTTTCTTTTTTTATTAACTGGTCTTTAGGCGAATTTTTTGCCAATATACAAGATTTAAATTCTAGAGTTTTACTCATTAAGAGAAGTTAAATCTTATCGTTTTCATTCCGAATAAAATTGGTCACATCTTCAATATAGTATGGAAGTATCTAAAAAATATTAACGAACATGAGATATTAATATACAAACTCGATTATATAAATCAAACTATCACATCATAAAATCCAAAGGTTTATTACACTAGTTGATAATAATATTGGAATTAGTATCCACCAGCTAATTAAGACAGTTTTGATTCAAATAAGCCTAATTTTTGTAATAACTTTGCTATAAACACTAGATTAGACTTCAGAGCTTTCTTGTGAATTATGATGATAAGAATGCTCAACACCAGCTAATCTTTTTCCACCACACAATACCTGATTTGGACGAGGAAGACCAATTTTTTAATGGATTGCAATTTTTATGGTACTCGGTGAAGATAAGAAACATGACCAAGCAAACACGTCTTAATCATTAATGATTAAAGCTTTTGAAATAAGTTCCCATCTATTAATAAACTCCTACAATCTCATGGGAGTATCAAGAAATAGGACACGAATAATCAACAAGGGAGTGACAGTATGACGAGATGGGATACCAATAATGACATGGATGCTGTACCAAGTACGAAGAGCCCACATAGGAAAGAGATAGTAGACAAAACTCCACTCATGTAGAGCAAACTTGTGAAAAGGAATTCCAAAAACTTAGCCCAACTCATAGATTTCTCTGCTGGACGTTAAATTGAATGTCAGCATCCTTGTTTTTTAAAAGCTCTTTTTATTTTTAATTTTTTATAATCCTTAAGGTGTTTTAAATTTAAGAATTCAAACTAATCTTTCATAATTTTTTTCGAACACACAAAATTGATATAATTATCTAAAAAGTTTTCTATGTATATAAAAAATCGAACCCAAAACTATTTATTTAAATGATTAGAGCTATTTCTGCTCAAATCAGCTTTCTTGAATTTAAAACCTTTTTTAAAATTAAATTTTAAATGATAACAAGTAAAAGCCTATTTGATATTAAATCAAGTTTGAGTTTGCACGCAGATTTTACAAAAATATCAAAACAACTAGTGTTTTTTTAGAGCGAATATTTTGTTTTCCTTTGATTACATTTAGCATTTATTTTTTATTTTGTTATTGTCAATGATTTGGGACAAGGGAATGAATTTACAAAAAAAATATATAGATATTATTAATTATTAATTGCTTTCATGAAGACAGAGGAAGAAGTGGAGAGTGCATGAACCTCCATGGTCATCCTGTTGATAATGTTTCAAACCCATTAGATAATTATTTAATCTTTTATATTTTAATTTTATCAATAACTTAATTTTTTTTATCAGTCTTTCATTAAATTAGTAATTTTTGTATCTAAATTGTCTTTTCTTAGGTCAAAAAAGGAAAAAACATAATTGAAGAAGAAACAAAAGCATCAAAAGAAGAATAATTTAAGAGGGAAAACATACTAATTTAATAGAAAACTATGAAATAACTAAGTTATTGATGAAATTAAAATATAAGGAAGTAAATGATTAGTTTTAAAAATAAAATAACTAATTAATTCGTTTCTCGAAACAAGAGGGATTAATTTATAATTTACTCAAAGTAAACCATAATCTTCTTCTTTTTTTTTTTTTTTTTTTGTGAATCTTTTGGTTCATCCAAGATTTGACCAATCATTTATTGAATGTAAAATTAATTTATAATTTAAGTTTCATTGTTATTATAAAAGTATAGGGGAGGGTAGATGCGGATTATGTTAGCACTGGCGATTTTTCCGTCTCCACGTTCAAGAATTGAATTGGAAAATGACTTACCAACGGAACAATCTTGCCTAGCTGTTGATTGGTCATCTTCACGATTGCATGAGGCTAATTACTATTACTAATTACGATGTGCAATGCACTTCACTGTGTGAATTGGTCAAATACGCACTTTTATTATCATTTTGATACAAAAAGAAGATTCCAATTTGTGTTTGTTTTTGCTAATTGAACAATGCAATTGGTAAGTTGGTGTCCATTTTTTATTTTTTAAGTGTTTCTATGGGCGTTTGATTAGATTATCCAAATTGACTTGTGCTAGTGTTATGATAGAACACCAGGTTGACAAGTAGCCACCCAAAATCGCATTTCCCACATAAGCCTTTCATATATATATATATATATATTGTCGGTGTAGTCTAAAATTAAATAAATAAAAAACATAAAGTTTAATGGAAAAATTCTAATTAGTTTACTCTTCAATATGTATAGAGGTTAACTAATCGGATACCTATGTTACGTTACGGGCAGACAAACGTTACATACATAGAATTAATAATTCGTACGATGTAATGCTTAGTAGAAAATTTTATTTTTCATAATATATATATGGACAGCCAAGGCCTGGGGCATGCGTGCCTAAGAGCCAGGCCTTAGTTGCTGGTTAACCCAACAGTAAAAAAAAAAAAAAAAAGAAACAAAAGAACTGGAACTGGAATACTGTTCATTTACTGTTGAAAGACCTTATATATATATATATATATATATATATATATATATATATATAGACAGCCAAGGCTTGTCGCATGCGTGTCTAAGAGCTAGGCCTTGGCTACTGGTCAACCCACCAGTTAAAAAAGAAAAAAAAATCAAAAGAACTAAAATACTGTTTATTTACTGTTGAAAGACCTCCGTTCTTTTAGTTTCTTTGTAATAATTGACACATGTCTGTTACATCATTGTTATATGTTGACATCCATTTCATATGACAATCTCCGTATACAAATAACAGATGTGTCATAACAAAATTAACAGAAATATCTAAATAAAAAATTATAATTTAATCTACTCAAATAATAAAAATTTAAAAAATAAACATTTAATTATAAAATTTTAATAAGTTGGTATAAAAAAAATGTAATTAACTTCTTAATGATTCACTCGTCAAAGAAGAAAAAAAATCATCTTTTTATCTTAAAGGTAAAGATATTTTCCAATCATTTTTTAAACAAAAGAATTCTTATTGCAAGCCGTATGAAAAGTAAAAATATTATCAATTTTGATACCATCTTTTATCAATTTAAGCTAAACCCATATAAAAAAAAAAACAAAACGAAAAATAATGATGGATTTGTCGGTGCTGCCACTGTCATATTTTGCTTAAACCAACAAAACATCAAAAACTCATTTCCCTATCCATTTTCTTTTCTCCATACTTGCTGTCTATCACAATTCAATGCCTCCCTGCAGTCTCTTTGTCAAAACCCTCGAACAAAGTATTAACAAATCCTGAAGAAAATTAAGCCGTTTCTTAATCAAAAAGAAATTAATGGCTACATTCCAATTAGGACAATGCAGCCTGTTGGTAATGGGCCCATTGAAAACGCCATTCTTCACACAATCATGTTCGAACATTTCTGTACCCCAATTGGAATTTGGTAGAGGATCTATGTAACATGAAATGGATGAGTATATATTTGTTATAGGAATCATAATCCCACATGCCACGTTATGCCAGGCTGCCAAAACCAGGAGGTATACCTTTCATTTGTTCAAAAACAACTTAATAGAATTAAAAAAAAAAAAATGTAAACTCGATAGTTTAAAGTGTGGTTGGTCTGGATCAAGTTCAGTCAAAAACCTGACCAACTGTGAATGATTAAACAAATTGGCAAACAATGAACTTAAGGTTGGATGTGGTCTATCACAAGCTGTTTGGTTTAGTTCAGGAGACAACGTACCCACAGGTTGTGGAAAGATCTACTCTTTTAATTTTCACTTAAAAAGGAAAAAGAAATGAGTAAACATAATCATGTTTTAGTCCTTTAATTTTCTTCAATTCTTTTGGTCATTAATTTTTGTAATTTCATTTTGTTGACTAATAAGTCACAGATTTCATTTTTGTAATGCCATGTGAGAAATGCTACCATACTACAATGACAGTATCTCAATGCTATATATAGATTAATCAGCAGTAACTTTTGTTTATTGAGGAACTGATGGTTTAATAACAAACTATTATATATTAAATATATTTTTTCAAAATTAATTTTAATTTTAAAAAAATTTAAATGCTTAAAATAACTTCATTTTAAATATTTCAATTAACGTTAAACATTTTAATCATGAAATATAATGAAAAAAGATAAAATTTATTTAGAAATTAATAATTAAAATTCAAGTAGTTCAAATTGATCAATTGATTTTACTTTACTACAATTGAAGTAATTTGAGAATAAATTATGTCATTAAACTAGAATCGTATTTATCAAATTTAAAATACAAAATAAAAAGGTAATGATTTTTATTTCCTTGACTTCTCCATGTATAAAAGGTAATGATTTCTATTTCCTTTAACTTTTCCATGTATAGATAATATTGATTAAATCTGTTTCGAGATTGACAACAAATATCATATGTACATAAAAATTACAAATCGGTTCAAGAATATTTCTATTATTAAAAAAATTATTTACTAATTAAACTAGTTGCACCTAAATTAATCATTGAACCGAAAATCAATCAGAAAATTAAGCCAGCCAAATGTATTTCATCTCCGATTGATTGGTGAGTAGGATTTGTCTTGGGTTCAAGTCCAAAGCCAGCTCATTCCAACAAAGTCCCACCTCACATTTGATCCCATAAAAGCCATGCTCATCCTCTCTACCCCCACACCACCACCAAAACACCACAATGGCAACCACTCCCGTCTCTCTCATTCTCCTTTCACTCTTCTTCTCCCTCTCTCTCCATGCTCAAGCTCAAGCCCCAAAAGCACCTGCCCCGGCGCCTTCCGGTCCGGTTAACCTCACCGCGATTCTTGAAAAGGGTGGTCAGTTCGGCACACTCATCCAACTCTTGAACAAGACTCAAACATTTAACCAAATTGAAAATCAGCTCAACAGCTCTTCTGAAGGCATGACTATTTTTGCCCCGACTGATAATGCCTTCAGCAATCTTAAATCTGGTTCTTTAAATGGTCTTACCCAACAAGAACAAGTTCAGCTTCTTCAGTACCACATGTTGTCTAAGTTCTATACTGTAAACAACCTTTTGCTGGTCAGTAACCCTGTTCCCACCCAGGCCTCAGGCAAAGATGGTGTTTGGGGTCTTAACTTTACAGGTCAAAGCAACCAACTCAATGTGTCCTCAGGGATGGTTGAGGTTCAAGTTAACAACGCTTTAAGGAAAGAATTTCCTTTGGCGGTATACCCAGTTGACAAAGTATTGTTGCCTGAGGAGTTGTTCGGTGTCAAGCCACCAACTGCATCACCTCCAGCACCAGCAACAAAGGAGACATCATCAGGAAAGTCCAGTCCAAAAGAAGCGGCTGCAGAACCGTCATCCGGTAAGAACTCAGCTGGTGGAAGGAAGGTAGCTCTGGGCTTGGTTGTTGGGCTTGGTTTGGTTTGCATGGGAATCCTTTCTTGAGGATGCATGTATGTTTGAAGGTGTTTCCACCATTCTTTTTTCTTTTTTCTTTGTGATTCTTACTTTTCACAGAATGAGCTCATTGGGGTTTTCGATGTACGTTTACTTTCCTGGTAAATTATTTGTATTTCTTGATTGGTTTAGTTCTTTGCCTTCTGAATTGATTCATTTTGATTAATTATTTTTCTCAACGTTTTAGTTGTTTGAATACTACTTAATTTGTGTCAAAACTAGTACCCTCAATTGATTATCAAAAATCAAGATTTAATTTCGGTTGATTCAAAATTGAGTTGAATATAATCTACTAAAAAAATAGATTTGGTTTTTATTGATTCGAAAAATTGAAAATATTCAATAGTTTATAAATATTAAAAAAATAAAAAAATAAAATATTTGTAGGTCATTTGATTTAATTGTGCATGTAGAATATTGATAAGAAGAGAGTGCATGTGGAAGATGGTTAAAAATAATAAAAAGAGATTGCAAAATACAACACGGCCAGCTCATTTTTTAACTTGTGCGATCCAACCTGGCAATGAGAGGAGACTTCTTCATTTTTTTAAGAAAAGGACTTCAAGTTGTGTGTGGAGACCATAGTTGTCAGACCCACTTGGAGTCCGACTCGGACAAGGTCTCGATTCTTTGAATTGCGAGTTGACTCAGAAGGGTATAGATATATGAGTGGTTATAATAAGGATTTTTTTTTTCTTTCTATTTTTACCTTTTTAAGTTCATCCTTTTAAATTGGGTTTTGTTTTTAATCTCATTCATTTGTTAACTTTTTAATTTAACGGTGTTAAATCACACCCTTAGTCTCATGTGATTGTGACATGTGTTAACTTGTTTTTTCTTTTTTCCTTCTTAATCTAATTGTCTTCTATATTTTTTTCTCAAAATTTAAATATATGAATTTAGAAAAAAAAATGAAAAAATGAAGATATATTCATCTTTTTCTAGAGATAAAATAAAAAATATATATAAAAAAATGTGAAGATAAAAATATTTTTTATAATATATTTTTTTAATTTAAATCAAACATAGAAATATAATTTTTTTATCATTTTTTTATATTTTGTGAATTTAAATCAAACATAGATATATAAATTTTTTTTTTCGTTTTTACTAAAGCCCTTATTAGATGGAAAAAAATCCAAAATTTGAAAAAAAATTATATTCCTAAAAAAATCTTAACAAAACTTACATTCCCAAATTCGAGTCAAGTTAAGAAATTTGTAAAATCAAAATAAATAAATTATAATAAACTCTTTTGATGTGTTATAAAATTATATATATACTATTTAAAAATTTAACTAAAATTCTCTTCACATTAGCAAATAATATAAATATTTCATTTTATATTTAAAATTTGCTTCTTCTTCTTCTTCTTCTTCTTCTTCTTCTTTTTTTTAAGAATTTGCTTACTAATCATATATGATAGTTTAAATAAAAAAATATTTTGTCTTCATCTTTTCCTTTTTTTTTTTTTTTTTTTTTTTGAGAGAATGACCATATATATATTTTTATTTATTTTTTTCTAGTTTTTTTTTTAATTTTCAAAATTTATTTATTTAAATTTTATATAAAAAACAAAAAAGAAAATGGATGAGAATAAGACGGAAGAAAAAATAAATAAATTGATGCGTGTTGTAATTATGTGATACTAAGGATGCAATTTAATACTGTTAGCTCAAAATGCTAACGGAAGATGATGAGATTATGATAGAAACCAAACGTAGAAAGACTAACATAAGACCAAATAATAATAGAAGAGCATGATAAAGATAAATAAAAATAAAAATAAAAAAATTCTCAGCAACCATTAACCCATGGATATATTAAAACTAAATTTATACACAAGTACATTTATAGCTTAATGATATTTTTTCTCCTGCATAATCCATGTGCGTATCAAGTTAGAAGTTCGAAATTCATTTTCTACAAATTTGATTTTTATCAACAATTTTGACATTTTTTGTGATGGAACTTCATTATAGTTTTATATATAATATATTATGCAGAACTTGTTTGTCAATGCACATGTAATTTTTTATTTTTTATTTTACTTGTGGCATAATCAAAGTTGGATTTGCACCTCAAACAATTTTTTTTAATGAGAAAATTGTAATTTGAGTGTCCAATCTTTTTTTTTTTTTCTCTTTCAGTGCCTAAATGTGAAATTCTTCTATTTAAGTGTCTAAATTTTGAATTTCCTTTTTCTATTTGAGTGTTTATAATCACCCGAGACCCAAAAATACCGACGTAGTCGAATGAGCTGCAATATGACAGTTTTTAACTAATAGGTAATAAAAGTGGGTCTCATTTGGGTTTATTCAGATTTTTTTAAAAATCACAATTTGAGTGTCTAACTTTTGATTATATTTTCTATTTAAGTGTCTAATCTTTGATTACATCTACTTGAGTGTTCAATATTTGATTTTTTTTTCCTATTTGAGTTCTTTTAGTCACTTGAAATTAAAAAAATATTGACATAATTGGAAATCAGTGGCACGTAGTAAAAAAGTGCAGCCATTTGAATATGTTGAGAAAAAGTTAATAAAAAACATATAAATATAAAAATAGTTGGAAAAGATTTGCAACTGAAACAATTTTTTTTAATGATAAAATTGTAATTTGAGTGTCCAATCTTTCTTTTTTCTATTTCAATGCCCAAATGTGAAATTCTTCTATTTAAGTGTCTAAATTTTGATTTTGATTTTTTTAACTATTTAAATGCCTACAATCATCGAGATAAAAAAAATATTGACATGGTTTGAATGAATCGCAACATGACAGTTTTTAACTAACAAGTAATAAAACTGCATCTAGGTTTATTCAATTTCTTTTTTTTTTTTTTTTTGAAAGACTACAATTTGAGTATCTAATTTTTTATTATATTTTTTGTTGAAGTGTTAAATCTTTTATTATATCTACTTGAGTGATTAATATATGATTTTTTTTCTTGTATTTCAGTTCCTTTATTCATTTGAAATTGAAAAATACTAATAAAGTTGTGAACCACTGACACATAATAAAAAATAGGTTCCGCTTAAATTTGTTGCGAAAATGTTAATAAAAAACATATAAACTTTTATGAAAAAAAATAGTTGGTAAAGATTTTTTTAAAATTAAAATTAATTACTATTAGCTAAAGGAATAATTCGACAAGTTTGCGAATCAATTTCTTATAACACTTTTAAAATATCACAAATCTAAACATTTTCTTTGCTTAATCTAAAATTTATTACGCTAGGTTTTTTTTTCTTAATAAATCTACATTTGACCTGGTTGTATTTGGACCGGATCAATCGAATTTGAATGGATCAACTTCTTATCGGATCCAACATCAAATCCAATGAACTAGTCGTTGAGTTTATTCAGATCAACCTGCTAAGCCGATCCAGACTTGCCTTTTGTTAAAAATAAAACTATTCAGTTAGCTTGCTTCACCTCGGTTTTCAGGTCAACTTCAGCTCTTCACTGTCCTGCTACTGGCTCACATGATAGTACCACGTGAAAAATGAAATTCTTCGCTCTATACTCGATTGTATGAGAAAATTATTAAGTAATTAATATATGATTTTTTTTTTTTTAGAAATATTAATTTGTGATGTTGAAAGTAGTTTTACAGTTAAAATGTTAAAGAATTATGATAAATTATTCATATTATTTTTATTTTAAAAAAATATAATTATCCGCAATAGTACTGATATGGTTTAAAATTAAGAAGTAAATGAATCCCTATTGTTGTACCGATCTAATTTTAATTTTAATCTTTAATCTAAAGTCCCTAGATGTAGTGGATGCCACATTGCCATCTCCTATCAGCAATTTAGAGGGACCAAGTAAATTGAATGATTTGACCATTTCTAGGGTCCACCAGTTATTATTGAAAGTTTAGGATAAAAAAGTGAACTTGAAGGACTCAAATATACTTTAACCAACATCGAGCGTAATATTTCGCACGTTTTGTTATGCTACTTGTACTTATGTCCGAATGACTTAAAAAAATTGAAATGACAAATTACCCCACCCTCAAGTAGAAGCAAAATACGCCCGGACCCTCTCTCAAATCCTCTTGCCCCTGCCACCATCTCCTCCGGCTAAACCTCGCCGAAACTCCTCAAGCCGTCAGCCTCACCAGTCGCCTAAACGCCCCAAACAGCACCGAGACCCACCAGTCATAGCCGCCATCTTCTCCGGCCAAACAACATCGAGACCCACCAGCCATCTCGAACATCCCTCTCCGCCGATAAAGCCCAACACCAGCCACAGCTCTCACGCGAATTTGAAAAAACCCTAAATCAATTTTAATTAAACTAATCAACAGACAGAGAAAGAGACGAGCGAATTCCAGATTTTTGTTGAGAGAGAGGAGAGTGCCTCCATCATCATCATCTTCTTCTTTCTCGAATCTTCTCTTACACGTCAGCAATATCCGACAACCACAAAATGCCCTGCCCATTTCATCTTCGCCATGAAAAACCCATTTAAGCCAATATTTGTATCAACAAAAACAACCACCTTTCAAGATCCCAAATTCTTTCACCTTACTGTCAATTCCGTAATGGCAACAACAAATGAAAATCAACAGATTGAATCAACGGTGGTGAGAAAACAAGGAGAGGAAGAATCGAAGAAGAAGACCTCTCCTCCTCCTCCGCCGCCGCCGCCCGAGAAGCCGGAGCCAGGAGATTGTTGTGGGAGTGGGTGTGTTAGATGTGTTTGGGATGTTTATTATGAGGAGCTTGAGGAATATGACAAGCTTTATAAATCTGATTCTTCGAAATCTTAGCCCCTGTTGATGTCAATTGTGATGATGATGAATTGTTTCCTTTAACATTTGTGTTACAGATTTTAAAGTTCGTAGTTTTCTTGATTGTAAAACATTAAGAATTTGGATTTCAATTTAAGTTCGGATTTTTCAGTTCTTTCGTCACCACGTGTCCCTCAACGGCAAAAGTTCAGGGTACTCTTGAATCAATTAGCCTTAATTGTTTGGTTGGGAGCTCTGAATGTGGCTGATCTGAGTTTATTACAAATTACTGCCTGGTAGCTAGTGTGGTTTGTTGTTCTGAGACATTGGAATGTTTTCTCTTGAACTTTTATCATGCCATGAATCTTGTTAAGCATATCTATGTTTTTTCTTGAGTGACATGTTTTCAGTTTAAGGAGATACTCCTAAACTCTCCTATCATGTCATCTTACTGATAAAAATTTGGCATTAGTTACTCTTGTAAATGCATCTTGTTAGTAGCATGTTTAGAAAAGATCTTTTGAGCTACATAATTTCTTTTACATGTATGAAGTGACTCGCATTGAAGCACATAGTCAGAATTGTTACATGTTCATGCAACTTGATGTGAACACTGATGTATATCCTATGTATGTGAATGACAAATTCACAGTGGCCTTGGCCCATACACTGAATGACACGGGCTATTATACCCAGGTAATCTTGTTCTTCTTTTGTTGTATTTCTAACTAAATTGTTCATACTTGAACCTCTTTTATATGAGATTCGTGCAGTGGCTTTCTCATCTGCTTCACCTGCCAACTAGCAAACTTGATTTGTTTGATCTTTTTCGTCTTTAGACCTCAGAATTGGATAGACCTGTGGGAATCTGTACAAATTAGAAGTTTATCCTGGGAATTCTTACAAAGCGTTTTCAGACCCTTTAGTTGATGGAATTGAAGATCATCATTGATAATTACACGGTCAGGGCTTCAAAGTTTCAACCAAAAGCATGAAAGTTGTATATTGCCTAGCTCTGTTTTTCCCCAAATGGGATAGCAGAGATCTATTGGTAGCTATGACAAGTAAAAGAAAACGCTCATGTGGGTGAAGTTCCAAGGGGGCAGAGCCTCATGCAGGGTTAAATCATTACTGCAGCTCAACTACTAGGCTAAGAGTCTGTTTAGCTTCTACTGTGCATGCTTTGTTGTGTTGGGGCGTTAGATTAAACACATTATAATGAATTGATATGCTGTGTTGTATTGTGAGTGAAATTATTTAACTATTTGGTAATCTGTTGTTTCGTTATTTAAATTAAAATTACCATAAGAACATATCTTTTAAATTAACATTGTTTTAAGAAATTAAATTGAGTTGTCTAAGATATGAATTTTTCTTTTGAAAACTACACAAATATCGTTAAAAAAAAACATAAGTAAAAAGAAGAAAGAAACAAGAATCAAAACATTACATGGTTTTTATTTAAAAGTAAATAGAACTTCTAAATAATTTAATTAAGAAACATAATAATAGTGTGTGTGCATATATATATAGTCCTTCTGGTTTTGATAAATTAATTAATTAATTAGTTTTTCTTGATTTTAATACTAATTATTTAGTTCATATACCGTTATTGATCGTGTTTAATTTAATATTATTTCATATATAAAAAATTCTCATCATTTCAATAATATTTATTTATTCTATTTTTGAAAAAAATAGAAAAAGAACATTAAATGGACAAAAATGACTAAATAATTAGTTTATGAGAAATAGATGGGGCTTATCAATTTGTTTTTCAAACTAGAGAGACTAATTTATAATTTACTCATGCATATATATACTCATTACTATTACGTTTTTTAATCAAATTATTTAATACTTCTATTTACTTCTGAAAAACCTATTTAATGTTTTGATTCTTGTTTTTCTTTCTTTCTTTTCCTAATATATATATATATATATATATATATATATATATATATATATATATATATATGTGTGTGTGTGTGTGTGTGTGTGTGTTATATAAAATAATGAATGTCCATATGACTCTCTTCGATTTAAAGCTAGAACATGGAACTTAGAGGATTCATTTTCCTCTTTAGTCTCCTGGTTCTATTGCCGATTATGTTTTCTTCTGCTTGACTTGACAAGAATGACCTCCCCTCAACCTCAAAAAAACTAATAAATAATAATAATAATAAATTAGACGGAGCTGGTTTGAGCTTTTAAGGTGATCTCATTGTATTTTTTTTTTAATTGGATTGTAAGAATTGTTTTCGGACCAACTTATATGTAAATAAGACCAGCAACAAATTGAATTCAGACCGAATCGTAATAAATGTGGATTTGATTTATTTAATTAACAAATCAAATTAGATCTTATGAATTCATATTTAAATTTTACAATCGTTGATTTAGATCTGAATTCTAATAGGTACGGATCATGTTCGGATATCCATTGAATTTATGATTTTTTTTTCAAATATATTCAAAATAGTGATTCGATATAAATAAGTTTTGACCTTTGATTGTATAAGAAAATATTTTATGATAATATTTAACATGTCAATTAAAAAAAATAAATCAAAATTTCTCACCATTGAAAAGAACAAAATCTTATAATTCTGATAAAAAATTATATTAAAGGTAAAGTTTAATTTAAATTTGGCAAGTAATATGGTAAAGTTGAAGAAAATTAATAAAAATATATACTCTAAGCACAAGTTGATTGGTAGGAAAAAAATTCTAATATTTTACAAATAGCAAACTTAAAATGGAGAAAAATTTAGAAAAAGACGGTCTCTGAGCACAACTTTATTTGTGATTTTCTGTTTTGAAATGGAGAAAAATTCTAAGCATGGATTAAACAGAATCATATTTTAATGCTCAATATTTCCATGAAGTGGGCCTCTTAGCAGCATCCCTCAATTTGTCCATTAGAAATCCCTTATCGACGGACAGGTAGCATACAAATAAACCCTTGAAACACAGAAGGGTTTTACGGATCCTGTAAGGCCAACAAAAACTTCAGGACCTCCCTGCCTCGATGCTTGGTTCGCTTTCACTTGCTCTCTCTCGGTTCCTAGAGTGGGCTTTAGCCATTTTTATGCTAACGCTTGTGGTTGTTCACTTTTTCATTTTTGTTTCTCTTTTGGGTTTCTTGTAGATTATCTCTTGCTTTGAAAGGTATCATCTTTTGCAAAGATGATGGAAGATTTGATTGACTTCTTTGTCATTGAAAAACTCAACCCTGATGGCAAGAAGTATGACAAAGGTGTGCTCTCTGTGCGTGTGTGTGTGTGTGTTTTTTTTTCCTTTGAATTCTAGTAGCTTTTACACTGTATTATTTAGTTTGATCACTTTGTTTTTCTCAGTTCTTTTATGGGCTGTTGGTGCTTAGTAGTTTTTTCTGTGTTGAATTTTTAGTGCTTTATGGTTGAATTAACAACTTGAATTAACAGAGAATTTTTTTTGGTTACGTTTTAGGCTTTGTTTTGGAATTTCTACTACTAGTATACTGGTATGCATAAAAGGGCCTTGATTTCTCTTTAATTTTTGCCCGAAGGCTTGAATTTGAATTCTTTGGAGTTATCGTGACATATAGTTTTACCATGAAGGATATGAGAAATTAATGATTGCTTTGATCTCTACTGTAATGGGGTTTTTCAAATACTAAGTAATTTTCTTGGAAAGATTGTAATATTTGGGGTTAAAATTTGACCTTCTATTATGAGATGTATATATTTTATGGTATTTAGCTAAATTGTTACTAAAACACTCCCTGCTGCTTTTCTGGTTGGTTTCATCTGAGATTCTATCTGGTGTATCCAGACTTTTCTTTTGCAAAACTTGATGGAACTAAAAAGATTGATGAGCTTCTGTACTTACTTTTTTTTTTTTTTTTTTTGGGCATCGGATGTGAAATTTTGAACATCTTAAAGCTTATAGTTTGTAAACTGTGCTTTTGTAGTTTCTCGCATTGTAGCACGCAGCGAGAAGGAAGATTTGTATATGCTGCTTGATGTGCACACAGAGATTTATCCTATTGAAGAAAAATCAAGGTATTTGGTCCTCTTAACCGAAACATTGAACACTGACGGCACTCTGGTTAGTCCTCATAATGCCCAGGTAATCCTTTTCTCTTTATTTGATAACTCTGGCATATTTGGTGTTTGGAATGACTTAAATGCTCTATATTGTTATGTTTCTTCTATGTGTTTGCATTTTATACTTCTGTATTTATCTTGGTTTATTATCAGTATTGACACATAATATTATTTTCTAGAACATTGCTTTTTCAAAGCCATCGACAATTACATGGCTTTCAAAAAAACAAGTTACTTAAATGCTGTTATTACAATTGGAAAGTTTAATGTATGAAATTAAGGTTGTTTGAATTTTACTTCTAGTCGAAATGAAAGCCAAAGGTACATAGTTTCTCGTCCAAGTCAGACTTCATCATTGTTCATGCTATATATATATATGCAGTAGATTGCATGACCATTTTAAAATGAACCTAGCTGTTTCTTTTCCCAAGTCTGTCATTAAATCTTGCAATGCATGAGGAAGGTCCTTTGCCAGTTTTTTTTTTTTTTTTTTCTATGTTCATTTGTTTGGTCTAATGATCGCAATAGTTACATAGAGATAAAAATACTGGAGGTTTTGGAATGTTCCAGTTGTGCCATGTGGTTGCAAGTTTCATGCTGAGGTTTTAAGGTTTGTGCAATGGCTAGTACCCAAGTCCATCCTTTGAAGCAAAGACTGTTTGCAACAAATTCTGATACCTTCCTATTTTGATTCTTGCTTCAACTGAAAACTTCCTTTCATTGAAGAATGAGAAAAGGCATTTAAATGCTTGATCATTCATTCTATGGCATGGTCCTTGCTGTATCCAAATATAGTTTGCTTGATTGGTTTCCTTGTCAGACTCACCAGCTAATCCTCACTGTATCAATTATATACAAGTTTGATGCCTGCCTTTTCTAATTCTGAAAATCATTTCTCTTTAACAAACACTTCACACAGAGTCAGCATTCCATGATCAGGATTCTACTCTGTGATAACTAAAGTGCAGGTAAAACCAGTAGTTATATTGGAGGAGTGTTCTTATGAATGTCTTGAGCTAAATGCTCACTTTTTTTTTTTGGGCATAAATTCTGTAATGATGGAATAGTGACCGTGAAAGTTTATTAGTTGATTTGCAAGATGCGAACCAGTTTCTAGACAAAGCCAGAGTTCTATTGCTATTAGGTGACTAAAAGAATTGGGGCTAATAAAATGATTTGGGGCTATTTGGTGAAGCAGGATCTCAGCTATAACATGAACAATGTATTAGAAACAAATTTACATTATGTTACTGATGACTGTTTATTTGTTTCTTTTAGATTTGCAGTGCTACAAATAATTTGGATTAATGTCGCATATTTGTTGTATCCTCTTACAGGGTAGTAAACCATCCAAAGAAGACAAGTTTGAGTATGTGACACATGGGAAACTTTACAAAATTGATAAGGAAGGTTCAGGAGCTGATTTCAAGTTGTATGTACCATACTTGTAATTACACAAAAGTTGCTTTCGTTGAGCATATCTCATATCTGTCTAGAAGTCATAATGCATTTTAGTTTCTAGTATATTGTGGGATAGCTTATTTCATCTAAGTAATTGACTATTGATCTTACTGATATATTTCTTTTTCTTTTTCCTTTTTTTTTTTTTGTTAGGGAGATCTACATTTCATTCGGTGGACTTCAACTGTTGCTGAGGGGGGATCCTAGCTCGCTTACTAGGTTTCAGCTCGATAAAAACTATTTTATGTTGATGAGGAAGATGTAGAAACATTAGTCACTCTATCTGAGCCTCGTTCCATAATTTTCTACTCAGTTGTAATCTAATCGATCAGCAATGCTGAATTTTCTGTTAGATATATTCTAAGAACTGAATGCTAATTATTGCAAGTCTAAATTTTTACACTCATCCATCTTCTCCCCAAAATATTGGTAATAGATTTTGCAACAACCAAAGAATCTTGAATATAATGATTCAAACATTGGTCTGAGGAAGTGAGGCTTGCAGAATCAATTTGTGCCTCTATTAGAACTTGATCAATGAGGGAGGAAAGGCTTGTTGGGGTTGAATCCACAATCTTGTTTGTATGTGTGAAGCACAAAACAAATGCATGGCAGGCATGGGGTGAAAATACCTATAAATTATTTACAATATCAGGCCGCATGTCCTCTTAAACTTGTTCTCTTGTCTTAACTGGTTCTGTGCTTTACTACAGTAGCACACAGGAGTTGAGAGTTTTGCCAGGGCTTGACATGCTGAAAATCCTCGTGAAAGAGAGGGGTGCCTTCGACTTGGTTGAACAATCCCAACTCATGTTCGTCTTCACTGAGATCAGTGATGAACGCAATTTATACTCGAAAATGCATTTGGGCTGATATCAGGTGAATTTTTTTTTCAGTATCTGCTGCGTTTTCTGATGCTATGGTGAATTTTTGGTTTTGGTCTGCTGCTATAAGTTACTTCATTATCATTCCTATCTTCCAAGGCTAGCTGGCTCCATTTCTTTCAGGGTCTGCTACTTTGCTTTCTCTGGCCTTATGTTTTTTTCATTTTTAAGCCTTTCTGTGTACTTAAGCGATTCCTTTTCAATCCTAATTATAACCAAGTCTCCATTGAAAAAATAAATTGCAAATTAGGAGTTGTCATTGAAATGCAATGACATTCGTTGCTCCCTATGTCACAATGCAAGAAGGAAATGCTTCATTAACTTTGAAAAATGAAATCAAATTCAATTGCTTGGTGAACCAAGCAGGATCTGGGTCTTTTATGAAGTTAATGATACCTGCACCTGCTTCTCTTGTGAGTACTGAAACATGTAATGGTGGATATCCTGAATCCTGAATACTGAAACAGTTCCTGACAGTATCCATGTGCTATATAATTAAGTGCTGAAGGTGTCTGGAATTTCATGGTCATCTCCTACAGAATGACAAAAAGTTCCAGGAAAGAACAAAACTAACCCCCGTTAAATTTGTCACCCAACCATTGAACAAACTAGTATATTATTTTTGTGCACGAGAAGAACATATACAACCTTTTTCTTACAACCTACTTTCTTAAGCATCATGTGGCAAATCTTTTTTTTTTTTTTTTTTGGCATTGCCTATGCAACAGCGAGTCTACCACTTTTCTTGATGGTGCAACTGTGAGTCTACCCTTTACTTGATGGGAGTGAACTCAATTCAAAAAAAAACAAAGCAGCAGATAGCGAATGGCATCAGACAAATGAAGAAAATCCAAAGAATATCTCTACAGCCCCTTTGCTTACAAGACCCGAAATGGAATGGTCCTCCACATTGATGGCAAAACTGAACCCCGCATCTGCATTAATAATCAAACTAAATCAGGAATGTACACCAATCCCAGATAGTATTTATATGTAATTTCCTAGTTTTATTTTATCTTCGCAGGTTTATTTCCAACAGGAGAAAACATATTTCAAATTACAAGTTCCCTTCACCAGGGTAACCTACATTTTTAATAATGAAAGATTAAAACAACATACAATCTGCTTAGTTGTATAGCTCCAAATAATTGAATTCATTTTGAAGGGAAGAAACCTTCAACCCCACGTTTTGAACTAAATTATTATTTATAGTTGAGAGAACGAATGGATAAAACTTGACGTTCAAGTATACAAGTTCTCAAATAAGTGAGCTAATCAGCTAACCTTATACACAAATTCAGTTTAACCGAAATAAAAAATCATGTTTTTTTTTTTAAATAATTTTTTTCAGCTATAATATAACGTTCTTTTACATCCTACTTAGTTACTTTTTGATCAAAGAATTTTTTATCATTTATTGAAAGAATAAAAAAGGTCTGGGAAACTGTGTTGCACAATCCAAAACTATAGTAATCTCCTGTCACTATATAATTTGCTTCTGAAAGACAGAAAAATCCAAATCACAAATATTATGCAGATGGGGAGAGAGAGAGAAAGCTTACTTGCATTTTATATCTCTGCAACCACTAACTCGCTCAACGGAGTGACCACAATTATAACATCTAGTCCACTTTTTCTCTTCAATCAGTTCACCAACCAGAATGTCATTACTATCTCTTAGATGTCTGCTCTCATTGCACCGGTATCCAGCATGCCATGGAATTTTGCACAGGAAACAGAAGTTTTTCTTGCAGTTAGGACATTTTGCTTTCTTCAGCTTATCCCTACACTCATTCAAAACCAACACAGAGCAATCTCGGTGTGGGCAATAGCAACTTTCAGACCCTAAAACTGCAGAATCACATAGACGATCACACCATTTCTCAAAAATTGGCTTCGGGATGATATGCCTGCATGAGAGAGGATCCAAAAGTTGCCTGCAGTTCAGTCCAGGGCATTCAATGCAGCCAGTGGTTTCCTCAACTGTTACTTCAATATATTTGGCTATGCAGTCCTTGCAGAAAGGATGTTTACACAAGCTACCATTCTTGAATTTTCTGATTGATAGCATAGGTTCAATGCAAATTTCACAGCTAAAGTTTGAATCTTCCTCTTGTTGCAGCTGTCCTAGTTCTGCTACTTTTGTTTCTTGGGATTTTTGCATTGTATTTCCCATTTTATTTTCTGCCTTTTGCTTTTCATGCAAACCTCAGATTAGTATCCTGGGGTTCAACTTTGAATCAAAAGCTCTACTCTATGGCAATACAAAACTCTTTCAGCTTCAATGATGAGATGAAGATCATAACACTGAGACTAATCAAATAACAAGTTTACTTCAGTGAAAACAAAAGAAAAAACAAATCAACTATGCGCTTTGTTTTACTCCCTGATTATCACAAGGCAGTTGAAGGAGCATAGAGGCAACACCATATCAAGTACCACTAATGAAAAGAAGATCATCTTTACCCTGAAAAGAATGTTGCAATTTGACACTGATATAATTCAGTATTTCAAGAACACTCAATTGGATTACCCTATAAAAGAAAGCAAATCCAAGCAGATAAAAAAGAAAGCAAATGGAACTATCTGTTACCACTGATCACAAAATCAATTGCAAAAGTACGCACTAAGTTGTCAAGAGATTCAAGTGCAATATCTCAATATTTTCTTAAATCCAACAATCAGATTGTCTTCAAGTGTCTTCAAGTACCAGTTAATCGCCCGGTCCTTCATTGAACAATGGTCGCTAGACCATAGTGGGAATTTTCCAATGGCTGTATCTGCATTCTGTATGCTAACCAAACTGGGCTTTATTGTCGTTCCAAATTACTGTCTGTCTGCACATCCTGTGCCAACAAGATTTGATTAAACAAAGGTTTAAATCATGTAAAATATAATTTGATTGCTATCTTAAAACAATAAAAGGGGTGTGGCTTAACTAATGGTAATGGGATTCCAGTGATATTCAAGAGACCCAGAATTCAAATTTCTTTCTTTTTGGAGCATTTTCTAAACAACCAAGCAAAAATGCAAAACAGAAGAGTTCAACTTACAGTATAACAAAATTCGTGATATATCAACTGCTAAGCGATGCAGAACGGAAATATTTCAGAATCTTAAGCAATTAAACAGAATAAACCAAGCAAAGGCGATATTCTTTCACTTTCTAGCAATTATAAGCACTGTTTAAAATAGCAATTCTCTTTTCTGGGACTCACACAAGCAGTTCCTCTCAAACTTCCCAACTAAAAACATAACACAAAGTAAAGTAAACCACTGACTTAAATTTAACAAAAGTTTTACTATTTTAGATTCATAGGTCACCAAAATGTTACACTTTCCATCATGTTCCAAGCAAAAAAAAAAAAAAAAACATAAAAGGAAAGAAAAACTGAAAGACTTGAGATTTTTTTCCTCAATATGAAGGGGGAAAAAAACCGGAAAAAAAAAAAAGCAAGCAAATCAGCAATTCTAGAAGTAAATTACCTAAACTTAAAACGAAAAAAAAAAGGGACCCAATTCAGCAAACACAATATTGACAAAACATGCACAGTAATAGAATCTGAAATTCACTTACAGAAACAAAAAATGGAAGTTGAAATTCTACAACGAAGCAAAAAATACTGGAAATAAAAAATTCATATCAAAATTAAGCTTATTTGGCTCTGTTCTCTCTTTAAGCAACAAAATTCCTAGAAACAGAGCTCCCATTACATTTAAAACAGAGAGAGTAAGAGACTTACAGATAAAATTCCGATCTTTTTCTTTCATTTCCCCGGGAACCAGACTGAAATGAAGATATTTACGTATGGGGAAAGAGCTACAGAAATGAAAATGGCGTGCGGGATACTTCTTTATAATGATTTAGTTAATTGGTTAACTACAAACGTAGTCCTTCATCTCTATTATTGTTAACAATGTTGCTCTTTATCAATTGATTTCATCAATTTTACCCTCAGTATTATCCTTCCGTCCATATTCTATTAAAAATTACTCACATAATACATAATAATAGAAAAATCGTAAAATGGTTAGAAATTTAGTTTAAAATACGTTTTTCTTCTTCTTTTTATATTGCTACGTAATTGATACATTTTTAACTCAATCATACTAAATTAATAAGTAAAGATTATAATAGAAAAATTGTCTCACAAAACATTTAAGTTTGGACACACGATTCATGCCCTTTTAACAGGAAATAAAATCAAAAAATAAAATTTTCTAAATACTCGTTTCAAAATTTGAATTTAAAAAATAAACAACATAGTAAATCTACTTAACCATGAATTATTAGATCATTAGTCACAATTTAAATAATGTGAGTATTGTTTTTTTTAATTGCAATATCTCATTTCATATTGAAGATAAGACTAATAATGTTCGAAACGAGAACGATAAAATTTAATAAAAATATATATATATATATAGTTATCAATACAAATTTTGAACATTAGAAAAAATTAATCGAAAAAATAATGTGTTTTAGGTTGAAATTTCACATGGTTGAAGTAGAAAGTAAGAAATGAATCTTTGCTTTCCAAAAGATAAAATAAGCTTTTCTTTTTATATAAGAAATTATTATATGAGCCAAACTTATCACCATTAATCTATTCTTATAAAATAGTGTAAAGATTCACATATTTTAGGCGAGTGGATCCCTAAAACAATGAGCTCACCTAACATTCTACAAATAATGACTTTATTTTATAGCTATTCCAAATTGGCAAAGAAAGTAAAGTGATAACATGTATATGGAAAAATGTTGCAAATTAGTAATGATAAAGAGGAAGGAGCTGAGAAATTTCCTCTAGTCAATATATGAATTTAAAAAAATAAAAGATTTTTTTTTAACGTTGAAATTCCATCACACGAGCGAGATATATTTTAAAATTAAAATAAAATTAAAATATGAATTTTTTTTAATGCTAAATATTTTTTTCCCTTCATTTTCCATTTCAAATTCATATTTTGGATTGCACATATGAGTTGCTTTTCCTCCCCCATTGAAAATTGTTTCCCTTGTTAAACACGTAATTGGGAAAGGGCATAAGAGCATCTCCAATGGTACTTTTACTTTTAGCTAACATTTTTAATATAAATAGAGAGCATCATTAATTATATAGATTGAAGATCAATATCCTCTCTAATGCTGCTCTCTACTTAACTCTTTATTTTGACAAAATCTATAAAATCTAGAAAAACTATTGGTGAAAAGATTGAGTGGCATAGGAAATAGTAATTTTTATTAATGAAATATAAGATAAAGAGTCATTTAGACTCTCTAGTATTAGAGAGCCAAAGATACTCTCTATATCAATTTTAAAGATAAAGATTGTGATAAAGAGAGCATTGGAGATGAAATTTGGATCAAACCTCTTTATTATAAAGAAAAATCTTAATATAAAAAGAGAATTGGAGATGCTCTAACAACATCGTCCATGTGAAGTAAGAAAATTGGAAACTACGGCTGGAGAAAGAGATGAGAAATTACGTTGTCATTGAAAGTAGTTGAATGGTACCTTTCACTTGTAGTGAAAAACTATAACTTTTAAGGAGTAAGAAGGACAAGTTCTCCAGTTAGTATGAGATTCAGTGAAATTTATATACTGTCATTAAACCTCTTTTCTAAAATAACAGTGATAATAATAAAATTTAAAGGGAATTTTTGTGCATATATTAATTTTAGGGTAACTTAAAAGTGATATAGAGCTTGTAAATATTATGTTGTGGAGGCTGATATAGTCAGACAGTTTTATTTATATTTATAGTCATTATTTAATAAAATTTAATAAGAAATTCTAACATGAAAGATAAAACACTCACCGCTAATTTAACGGACTAGAACTTTGATTCATGTATCTCATTGATAGGTAAATTATATCAATCTAAAGGCTCATATTCTAATGGCGATCGTGAAGCCGTTACAGACCGATTTCAAGGTCGAAGTCCAGTCCAAAATATTCTAATTTCATGCCTTGGAAACATTTTGGTTAAGTTAGAATTTGACGCCAAAGTTAAATAGCTTAATAATTATTCTAAAATAATTTAATAAAAAATTATGTATGACAGTGAAATGAAATTTCATTTTCCTTTTCTATTTCTTTTATCTGTTTTCTCTTTTTTAATTGATTTTTGGCCTTAATTTTCTTCAAGTGAATACTTTTGCGCATGCCAAATGAACTTTTAACAGAATCCATTGATTACTTTTTTGCTGGATCAATATACATGGAATTGAAATGCAATGTGTGTGTATATATATATGACAAAGACGAAGAAGGAGCGTAGGAATTTATATTTATACAAAATAGTGGATTTCCTGAGTGATCAAATAAGACTCACATATTTTAGGGTAAAAAGCTGGCCTCACCTAATGTTTTACAAGTAATGATTTTAAGTTATATAACTTTCCAATGTGAAAAGTCAGGCATGGAAATATGCTGTGAATTTAGTGCATATGATAAAGAGGAAGAAGGAGCTGAGAAATTTCCTCCAGTCATTATTTTTACTCGTGGAAATGTGTCCCAACTCGTCCACAGCTCGTGGAAAATGGAGTGAATTTCTTTTTTTCTTTTTCGTTTTTTTATTACTTTAACTACTCTTTTATATATATATAAATACACACACAAGAGACAAGAGACACGACATGGGATGTTGTATTTAAAGAAATAAATAATTTTTGTAGTGTCTAAATTTAATCTACACGAGCAAACCTAATTTCAAATAAAACACAGATTAAAATATCATTTTAGTAATTTAACCCACTTTTGAAGAAATTTCAATTTACTTCCAGACCTATATAATAACTCTCAGTTATGTTCCAAATCTATAAATTTTATCAATTAAGTCCCAAATGTTTCTTACATTTCTCAATTAGATAATTTTGTTAATGTTCATCAATATTTTTCATTAAATTTTCTTCAAATCGATTTAGTTTTAGGACAGAAATATGTATATTAGAGATAAAATCTTAATATTGTTTTTTTATTTTTTTTAATCAAATTTTCTTCAAATCGACACTATTTTACCATATAAAATATAAAAACTAGACTTAAAACACTAATGTTAACGTTCATTAATTATTTCAAGAAAAGTTGTAAATGTATGGCTAAAAAGAGTGTTTTTCACTCACGAGGTTAGATATTCGATTTTCATCCTTAAAAATCTCTTTTCTTTCATTGGTTTGGTAATGGATATGGATTACTAGTGAATTCACAAAATTCAATTCTTAAAATTGATAAAAAACTAAGCATGATTCAACACTAATCTAACTAAGAAAATAATAAACTTAGTATTGATTGATGTAAATTTTGGACCGAGAATATCCCGCAATATGTATATAAACAAAGAAATTATCAAATTTATAGATTTGAGATGCAATTATAAGTAAATATATAATTAAGTTTGTGACTAATTAATTGATCAAAAAGTTTGCTTTGTTTACATTTCAAAATTCAGATTTTGGATTTTATATATATCACAAATACAATGATGTTTGCCCTCCCAATAAAAAATGTTTGTCTTTTTAAACACGTAAATTAAGGAAATTACTTGGGAAGGGCTCAGGGCAGAATTACGTGGTCCATGCGAAGAATGAAAACTTGTTGGAAACTATGGCCGGCCGAGAAAGAAAGAGATGAGAATTTACGTAAGCTGTCATTGAAAGTTGTTGAAACTAATAGGTTTTGTGCCCAAAAAGAAAAAAAAAGCTTCAAAATTTAGTAGCATTCCTTGACCTTGCCAACTTCAATAAAAAGGTTTCAAAATTTTTAGGCTTTTTAAATTCTTTTATCTATTTCCTTTTATTTTTAATGGGATTTTTTTTTTTTTTTGTAAATATTAAAGAGCATATTTCAAATAACATTGCTAATGGTTCGAAAACTGATGTATTAACGGATCAATAATATAAAGATTTGATTAAGAAATTTAAAAAATAAAAGAATTCATTAAAACAGAATCGATAGTATATTTAAGATGAGATTTTGATAACAAACGTAATAACACACACATATAACAATAACAATAACAATAACAATAATAATAATGTTAAATTTTGAAGTCTCATTTCGTTGATTTTTAATTGTAAGGGTAAGTAAAATGTCAATAAGTAGTTTGTAAAGTTGCGGAGAGTGACGTAGATGATAGCTCGTAGTATAAAACGTTATATAGATCTAGAATGACGAGTCTCGTTTTTATTTGTATCCGTCACTTGACAAAACCTAATAAAAAATCCTAATACAATCGTGAACTAAACATCGTTATCGAATCATATAAAATCTTTGTATTGTATGATTGTCTTTCTATTTCTACTATATTTCTTTTATTTGATTTGTTCCTTAAGAAAGCTTTCATTCTCAATGGCTAACCAATTAATTAAATTCTTGGATAGAAGCCAAATGTTCTTATATATGTGAAATCTAGACTCACTGGGTTCTGGGTTTAGACTGATCTTTTGATGTCGACCAAACATTTGATAGAACTTGAAATAACTAATCTTAAACAAAGGTGGACATTAAAGTTAGGATGTGCTGAAACGATCCATAGATATCCACTACATGTGAATATGAAATGAAATAAAATAAAATAAAATAAGTCATAACTTCAGGGAAAGAAATTACAAAGAATCCTAAAAGGGCTGGGCATTTATCATTCCCAAATGATTCATCCACTCATATAATATTATTAATTTAACGTTATTTTTGTAATTTTAAGTATTTATTCCTTTTACAAAACTGTTTTTACTGTACATTGAATGGTTTTTTATTTTTTATTTTTTTATTTATACAGTAATTTTGAGTTTTTTTAAAAGCATTTTATATGTAAAGTTTTGCTATATTGCTCTTTTGTCCCTCTTTTTTTTTTTTTTTTTTTTGAATTTCGATTAACAACTTTATTTGTATTATAATTTGAAAAGTGAAGAGATAGAAGCGATGATATATATATATATATATATATATATATATACACACACACATATATATATATATAATCTAAAAATTAAAAGTATTTTTTTAGACAATTTGTCCCAGATTTTTTAAAAAAATTATAGTTAAAAATCAATGGATTTTTGAATTTTTTCACAAGTTTTAGTTAAAAATCCAGATATAGAAGAACAAATCATGTTCTTTTTAGCAAAAAAATTATAAAAAACATAATGAATAATAAGTTAAATACAATTTTTTTTTAAAAAATAATACTTTTGTTTTTACCTTCGATTTGATATATTTTAATAGACCCATATTATAGCACGTATCATCAAATTGAAATTTTGTTTAAAATAATTTTACATGCTCTGTTCGATCCGTAGCGTAGCACGAGTAGAAAACTAGTCTAATCTAAATTATATGCTATAATCAAGAATGTATATATTTAATCTTAAGTTCCTAATGATATCTAAAAAATTATTGAACTTCAAGATTTAAGTACACTACTAGTCGGTTGCCCGAGCTACGCTGTGAGTCCGGTAGAATAAAATCATTTTAAAATTTAAAAAAATTTTAATTATAATTTATTATTTAATTAATTTTTTTAAAATTTTTTTTGCTTAAAAAAACATAAATCATTCTTCTTTGTGGATTAATTTTAACTAAAATATTAATCAAGAATTAAAAAAAACTTTTAAAATATATTTTTCATAATATTGTATCGAAAAGATAAAGTTATAATTAATAGATATACTTTTATAAAAACTAACAAATGGGAAAAAAATTTCTTATTTAATGCTGATGAGAAGATTAATTTTTTAAATTATCCGTGCAGCGCTACGGGTAGATAGAATAAAATTATTTCAAAATTTTATAATTTTTTCATTAATTTTTTATTTAATTATTACTATTTTTTGTGTTTTCATAAAATTTCTATTTAAAAAAAAATGATTTATTTTTCTTTATTTAGGTATTCCTAAATAAAAATTGGTAATATATAATTTAAACCCGAAATATCAATGGAGAATTTAAAAATCAATACTTTAAAAATATATTTTTTTATAAGAATATATTCAAAAAATAAAGTTACAATTAATATATAGATTTGCATAAAAGTTAACCGATGAAATAATAAAATTTTATTCTTATTTAATATTGAGGAGAAGATTATTTTTTTAAAGCACATACATTTGATTTATATATATATATTATATAATCGTTAGTTTGTGTGAAAAAAGTAACAATTTATTTTTAAAAATTTTAACACCCAATTAAATAAAAAAGAGAGCATAAATTGATGGAAAAAATCAAAGAAAAAAACCAAAGGAAAAAAAAAGAGGCATGTAGTGCATCGACTGGGGATTGAAATTTTTTAAAAAATTTCAAGGATCAAAATGAAATAATTTCAAAATTAAAAAAAAAAACTAAGAAAAAAAAACTAAGAGTGAAATTTACAAAAAAAAAAAAAAAGGAAGTGAATAGTACAAAAAAAGTTTAGGTTAGTAAACTTTATTTAGTTTTAGTATTGTAAGGATAAAAATCAAATATGATAAAACTTTAACAACTAAAATGAAAACATATCACAAAATACGAATAAAAAAGAACATAAATTTTTACTAAAAGCAAAAAAAAAAATATTCATTGTGGGGATAAAAATCAAATATAATAAATTTTAATGACAAAAAAAATTACAAAACAGGGATCAAAATAAAAAAAAATAATTTTAATATTTATTATAAGAATAAAAATCAAATATAATAAAATTTTAATGATCAAAATAAAAAATATTATAAAATAGGGATCAAAATGAAAAAAAAAATCCTAAAAGTTTTCTAAAAGCTTAGGTAAGCAACCCGAAAACCAAAAGCATAAATGTGTCTATTGAGAGTCAAACCAAATCTATTGCTTGGAAAGTAATTACTTTAATTGTTCGGGTGCAAATGTTTTCTTGTACTTGAATTACAATATATATATATATATATATAAGAGATGAATAGGATGATTAACAGTCAAAAGCTTATGTCTTTTAGAGTTTTAGTAACGTAGTGCATGTTTTGACTGTGAATAATCAATAGGTTTGGCTCACGTTTGCACCATCAATTCTTTATATGATACACTACACATCCCACGATGAAATTATAGACCTAGGAAACTCATACCAATTAACATTATCGTAATCCAAAATTTCAAAAAGGAAAAAAAAAAAAGCATCTGGGAACAGAAAACTCATAAATATATTTTTTCTGTTATTCACAAAAACCCCATGAAAATTATAGTTTTTGGAAATTAATGTGCCTGTGATATATATGCTTGTTAAAGAAAAATATAAAATACTTGGAGGCACAAGATATAGAACATTCATTAGGCCGATCGAGTACCTAAACAAATTGGGGTCTTCCTGGTCTCTCTCAAGATAATCTCTGGCAATCAAATTCTCTATCTGTTTCTTAATATTTGTCAGTAGCAGGCTTAAACATGCTGCTTAATTGCTCAACACTCTCTGATACTAGTTCCTGATAACCCAAAATTTTCCTGCTTCTCATTATCCGCACAATTGCAGCATCAATAACATACATTCTATCCTTGCCAACATTCTTAATAAGCTTCTTCTTTTCATCCAATATAGAACTGGAATCTTAATCGTCCTCATCCTATCATTGAACTTGTGGTGGTTGAATTGGAAGTAGTCATTATGGGATATGGCTTTTGCGTGTGGCTTGTTTAGAAGGATCTTATGTTTGGCACATGACAAGGAATGTAGCAATCTAGCCAACTCTCATGATCCAAGTTTAACTGGGTCATAATTTCTGAGTGACTAATAATCATTAAAAAGCATTAGGGCAGCAGCTTGTTGAGTTTTAAGAATAGTGGAAGCTGCTCAAACTTGCCACATTGACGTGGCCAAGGCCCAATGTGTAAATCCATTTAAGCCTTCTGGTTTTTTGGTTTTGGTTTCATGATATCCCTTCAAAGCATCTATGCATTTTGGCAACTCCAGAGGGAGGATTCGATCAAACGTTTGTAACTTGACCGGCATCCAGTAGCAAGAATCATAACAGAAAGATCTAATCCAAAAGATCTAATCCAGCATTCATATCCGGGTTTTAATTGAGATACTCCTCAAAGTTGGCCTGATTTTCCTTTACTAATGTAAAATCCCTGAACATTACCTCCAACTTGGCGTGATTTTCCTCTACTAAAGTAAAATCCCTGAACGTTACCTCCAACGCTGAAGTGACTAAACCACCATAATATTGCTTCAGCTTTGTCAAAGTAGTCCCTTTCATGATCCTCGCTTATACTAGTCCTGTCAGAAATTAAATGGCGAGCAAGCTTCCTCATGTAAAACTCAATAAACAGGTTTTCGTCATTGACATATCTAAGCAGGTCTACCACTTCATCAAGAGTTTCTTCAATGGATTCATCATCACTCAATTTCTCAATCCTACCTAGTTTCTTGAGGATATTGTCAATTAATGTCCCAAATTGCTCTGTTCCTACTTCCAGCAACTCTTTTATTGCAAGCCATCTCAAAAGCTTCCATCAATGCCTTTAGAAAGAGTGTGTTTTCCAAAACAATCACTCACATGTGTCATTCAGCAGTAATTTATTGCTCGAATATACTAGCAATAGGTTCCAACCCTTGAGGTATTATCTGGTAAAGTCTAAATATCCTAGATAGATCTTCCTACTTGTTTTCTTTTAGGCTTTTAGCATTTGCAATGCATGCATTAGTCCAGTACTCTCCTTCTCAAGCATTTGGGTAGCATTAATCATCAGCAATTCATGTTGCACTCTTTCCATTAACTTCCTTTCACTACTTTTAACCATTTAATGAGACTCTTTCCCTTTTCTTCTCAAGCACTCCTCACACTTCAACATAAACAGCGGACAAGAATCCTCAAGAATCCAATTCGAGGTCTTATGAGAGTAGTAAGTGGCAGTATCTTGAATCAATTATGTTTTAAAATCCCTCTCATAAAAAGCAGATTTTCCTAATCCAATCTCAAACAATACATCCAAAACATGCTTTAACATTGCTCTATCAGCTTGTTCACCTTCACGCTCTTTATTGATAAAATTCATCACGATATCTCAAGCATTGCCCAAAACCTTCTTATAAATCATATCGCGAAACAAAATCATTCCAACTTTATTAAGCAACGAAAGCAACCTTATGTCTATCATGACACAATCTAAGATCATTAAAAAGGCGAGAGAAACCTATCTATCAATTTATGATTAGCCCATCTTTTCACTCCATTAACATAGCCTTATCATGCTTCTCTGCTATAGATGGCAACACAGGAGATTGGAAATATTCCTCAAGAATCTCGCGCTACTGGCTATATAACCGTTCACAAGAATCATCATTAGCAAACACTACTAGAAAATGGCGAATTAACGACAATCTAGACCATCGCTAAATTAAATTAGCGATGGTTTGAAAACCTTCAGAAAAATGCTTGTCGCTAATTTTTTAGCGACGGTAACCATAGCTAATTTAATTAAAACCGTTGCAAATTTACAAGAAAAATAGTATCTAAACTTCGAAAATAAGCGATGGTTTATGAAACCGTCGATAACATTATGTGTAAAACCATAATAATTAATAGTTTATTTAATTAAATTAACACCACCTATTAAATATTTCAAGAGCAATTAAATTATTTAAATACAAACAATTACAATTAAATTAATAACCAACTAAATAAAAAATATTAAACACATAATTAATTAGAATAACTCTTACAAAATTATTTAAATACAAATAATTACATTTAATTGAATAACCAACAAATAACAATTACTTATAATAAAAAAATTAATTAAATATAACTAACAATTAATCAATAAATAATAAAACAACAAAAATTAACAATTAAATTTTCTAAATAACAACAATTAAACTAACTAATTAAAGAATAAATAATTAAAAACAATAACACAATTAACAATTAACAACAAAAATTACATTAATAATTAACTAATAAATAATAAACAATGACAACAATTAAAAATAATAATTAACAACAAAAATTAACATAAAATTTAATAATTACAATAACAAAAATGAATAAATGGGTTATCAATAAGATAATTTGATGATTAGATAAGGTATGAGCTACCGCTAAGAAAGAGCAGGAGCCGCTCCACTACGATGGTGCCGTCGCCGTGGCACTATTCACGATGGAGAGGCCGGATTAAGGGAGGTGGAGGGAAGGGGGAGAAAGAAAAGGGAGGAAGAAAGGAGGGGAAGAGGAAGGAGATTTGAAGAAGTTATGGAGATAATGAGGAGGAGAAAATCACGACTAGAAGAAGAAGAAGAAGAAGAAGAGAGAAAAAAATTGGGGAAAAAATTCAAGTCCAATGGCTATTAGGGATTAAAACTTTTGGCGAAGATTTTTAAATCATTACTAATTTTACTCAAAAATTCAAAAATATTCATTTCCCCCAACAGTTAAATTTTAGCAATGATTTTGAAAACTCGTCGCTAATCTAAAGTCTTCTTCTAGCACCATAAACGAGCTTTTTTTTTTTTTTCCCGACTTTGAAGAGGAGGTAGAAAGAAGAAAGAGAAGAGGAGAAAAGAGAAAACAAAGAGAGAGGGCAGAAAAGAAAATGTAATAAAGGGTTAGTTTCTGGTTTTTGACATAACGGAGACATAAAAAACATGGAAGCAGAATAAAAATAAGAAAGAAAACGTTTGGAGCCTTGAGGGGTAGTTTGGTAATTTTGACATAAAGAGGTATTTTGATAATTTTGCACGCGGGTGCATTTTGGTCATTTTTCAATAGCATAGCAAGGGCATTATGGTCACTATAAGTGACTATTTGATTTTTTTTACCTATTTATTTTTTAATTATTTTATGATGTTGTTTTGTAATAATATTAAGTTTGTTTGTATTAGAAGACTTAAAAATATTTAGATTATAAATTTTATATTAATATGTGGATTTTTATTCGGTTGTGATGTCGGATCAACGATTTTTCTATTTATTAAGGACGGATGGTGGTTTCGACATATTTTGTCCACCTCTAAAAAATGCCCAAAAAAATGAGAAATTGCTAAGTTAATTTAACAAGTTTTCTATTTGTCAAGGATCGATGCTCGTTAATTGAATCAAATTAACCATCCCTAGTAATTAGAACATTCTAATACCTGTTATGTCGAGATTTAAATTGGATTCGATATTGAATTGATGAAACACTCAACGAAGACATCTAACAATCAACTCAATATGATGCCACAAATAAAAAATAATAATTTGGCTTAGACAATAAAACTTGAAATTTTGGCTTAGTAAATAAAACTTATAATTTTGACTTAGGATCAATTTTGGCAAAAATAAAAATTTTTAGGCGATAAATTTTAGGATTAAACTACACATGATGTCTTTCTTAGAAAATAATACTTTTGAGTGATTAATATCTTTTAAAAATTATAACCAATTTCATACCTTAGAATCTCTCGAATCGAGGTCAATTTTAGATTCTTAGTTCTTTTAATATCAAGTGACAACTTCAAAATTAATAATAACTCATATCCTCAAATAAACAAAATTTTTAAACAAAAATATCATAAAATAAAATTTTTAGAGTCTCACAAATGTTGAGTAATGATAAAAGTTCGAATCTTGCCATCCTAATTTCTCTTGTAATTAATTAAATATGAAATAATATGAAATTATATAAATTTTAAATTCAAAATACCTTTACTTACGAAGTATATTAAAAAAATAATATAAATTATATGTTAAACGTTTGCCTGACAGTTTTAGCTAACTTCCGTGCCATAAACAAATTTTGAAAAGAGAAGGAAGAATATTGATTGATTATTGATAGTCTAGCTCAGAAATGAAGGCACAAATTCCAACGAGTGTGCAAACATCGATGTACTTCAAAAACTGTGCTCTTTTTCCTAACATTTTATACTATATTCTCATATATTAAATTTGCAATTTTATATTATATATCCAGGGAACTTTAAAGGAATGACAAGTTAAATGCTAAAACACTTTTATTAGCAAAATATACTTTTAATGATGCAGCTTTTTCAATCGGAAGCAAGAAAATCTGGATATTATTTGTGGTTGATTTCCGTTGTTGGTCACAAAACTAAAATGATATGTCACAGAAAAAAAGTTTGAACTGCGCTTTGTTTCTTAAGAGTAATGTAAAACTGAGTTTGGCTCATGCGAGGGCTTGTGAGCATCTCCCATGTCGCATCCCACTTTCAAGGATTCTTGAACTATCCACCTTTTAAACATGGCAAAACATTCTGCAGGCTTGTACTCGGGAGCAGTGTGCCCTCCACCCTGCAAATTAGCCAAATAGTGAAGTACAAAGTAATTTTAATTAATTGAATCCATATATATAAACATCTGCGTAACAAAAATGGAAAAATTCTGAGTTCTGTACCTTCACAGTTGCAAATGTCAGTTGATTAGAGTAAGTCCTCGTGTATCTGCAAGATCAAGTCAAACATCCAAATCAATCATTTTCTATTTTCTTTATCTAACTGGCTCTTTCCAGCTACAGGCAAGAGCTAGAAAAGAGTTGCAGAATATTAGCAAATTAATATAAACTAACATTTATTTGAAGAACATACCCTGCAACTTGACCGTGGGAGCGCCATGGGCGCCATTCATCGACAATAGAGTAGTTTAAAGATCTTATCCATGCTTGAGTTCCCAAGAATGGTACAGCCACGTCATGATCGCCACTGTTCAATATAAGAAGAGACTACATCAACCGAAACATTATGGGAGAAAACAAAACAAAACTATATATATATATTGATTTAACCTGTAGATTAATCTGTGGTAACCCATTATCCCAAGGTCTATATGATACTTAATGCTGCTATGAATTTCACGAGTGTAATTAAAATTGCATCGTTTCCACTCCCCTATACTTCCCTGCATCAAAACAGTGTTGCATTATTCTCTTAATGATCTCTTGCTAGCTACTTGCTTTTTAAAATTGATCTCACCACTCTCCAACCCATACCTCTCGCACATGGAGTGCTTTGCGGACATCATCGCCATTTGCCCAATATGTAGCCAGGAGTTGTTTATAACTCTATATATAGGCATAAAGGAAGATTTTCAAATTGAGGAAAGGACCAGAAAACAACTTTGCATAAATTCATCAAAAACAAAGGCACTGTATATGTTAATAATCTGTTTTCTCCTTGTTCTTATGTCATCATTTTATTTCATAAGTTATAACCTTGTGACGTTGTGACCTGTATATATATACATATATATATATACATATATATATATATATATATATATATATATATATATATATATATATATATATATATATATTGCATATCAGAAAGAAGAGAAAAGGGAATTACGCGGCATCCGATAGTAGGAAGATTTGGTCCGAAATGGACGTATTCTTCAAAGTTCTCATTGAGATATGTTCTTTTTATCGGGCGCGGAGGAACAAGAGGACACTTGTGATCCAAAATATGGTCGTTTTGTATTTCTGAAACGATCTGAGAAAGCAAATGGACAGTATATACATTAACCTTTGAGAAAGGAAAAGAAAAATAAAGAGAAAACCATGAAGGGGATTCACACAATATATGTTATGGTTGAGTACCTCATCAAGAGCCTCTATATTTTTCAAACACTCTGCATTACTCGGGTTTATCATGCGATATTCTCCTCCACAACTTTTCTTCAGTGACTGGTCAAACAATTTGTGACATTAGTTAGACATAACTCCAAGCCAGTAAGTAAGACACAAAACAAAATGGATCACCCCATAGAGCTCATCAGAAATAAGTCCCATTCCATGAGCATATGGAACCTTTGAGTTATCATCAAAAGTAGGATCAGTGACAGGGTTCCCTAGTATGTATCCCTGCAACCGTACAAATTAAACCACCACTTCATCAGCAAATTTTAGAAGGAAGCTTGAGAAATAAATTTTGTTCCAAATTAAAAAATTCCTAGATTTCTGATGGTAAATAAGAGAGAGACAATGGAATATAGGCAATTATGTAGTGCCAAATTAAAAAAAAAAATGGTATCAAATAAATAAGAGGATTCAATTTAATTAAAAGCTAAAAATATAATAACAAGAAGTGAATTTTTTACCTAAAAAATAAGGAAAATATAATTAATTAGTACCTTGAGATTTATTAGTGGTTTCATACCCTCATTGTTCCCTGCAATAATTGAACAGCAAGACATTAAGATAATTTTAAACAAGTTACAAAAATAGATGTACGTATGCAAGCTTGCCCTTTCGATATCGTAATGGTCAATTTATCAAATATAATAATTCTGTGTCAAATCTCAACACATTTTGATATCACAATGGTCAATTTGTTATCAATACCATCAGAAATCTTTTGAAATACCGCTGGAACGGTCAGGCCAGAGTAAGAGTCGCCGGCAATGTAGACTGGATTTGAGAGGAATTCTTGATGATGCATTAGCCACTATATAAAGCAATGAATAAAGAACCAAATCAATAGCAAAAATTAATTAAATCAATTTACATCTTCTACCTATCCACAGTAGAACGGACTAGAAAGCTGTACCTTTCGAAGAAATTGATCAGCTTGCGAAACTTGCTTGAAGTCGCTTCTCTGAAAAGCGAGTGGGTTTCTTGCATAGGAGAATCCAGTGCCAGCAGGCAAATCTACAAATATTATGTTGGAAACCTGAAAATTGAACACCAGCTCAGCCATGTATAAGATTGTAAAAAATGGTCTTTCTAATATAGTAATTCTTGTTCGGTAAAAAAAGCAATATCACCTGTGTCCATGAATATGGATTCAAGACCAATGCAGGTAAGCTCCCATTGTACTCCTTTTCCTCGAATCTTATTGGACCTATGCATATATAGTATTAGAAATAGACACACACACACACACGTACATATATATGGTTGTTTTACATCAGTGCTTGTCCGTTTCAATAACTGTGCGTAATTGAGTGAGCCGCAGTCGCAGTCGCTTCTCTTACCAATTTCAAAAGCAAGACCAGACAAGGAAGAACAACCAGGGCCACCAGTTAGCCAAAGCAAAAGAGGGTCCTCTTTAGGATTCCCCTGAGACTTGAGGAAGTAGTAGAAGAGCTGCAGATCCTGTGCTTCATCCACGCCGACATATCTGATATTAATTTGATCAAAATCACATTAATTTGTGTAATTTTAAGCACGCATGTGCAGTAGTGAAATCTGAAAACAGTATATGTGATGGTCTGAAGCTCACCCGGTTTCAAGGTGGAAGGGAAGCGGCCCCTGAAACCCAGGAAGAAACTCAACAATTGAGTGGGAGACAGCGCCAGCAAGTTGTAACCAAACCTGTAATAACAAAAGAAAAGGAAGGCATCGTTTGGCCATTGATTTCGATGGAGATATTGTTTGCTTGAGGTGTACGATTGAATTATGTACCTTACTTATACCAGATAACGAATTAAAATACAGGTTTTCTAGATCAGCAATATCTTTTGTCTAATTATTTATATTTCCTTGTGGTATACATGGTGCCTACTACAAATGCCTTTTTAAATGCCACTGGAAATGAAAAACCATTGATTAGATTTTAGATCTTGACCATTCAAAATAGAATAACTTATTATAATGATACGAAAACCTTTTTCAATTCCATAAATTTCTAATGTATCATTAAATATGTTAAGTGTCCATAGCCGTATGTATTTAATGTCCCATATAATTTCTCATAAATTCCTTCCACAATTTTCCACTTTTGATGGTTGAAACTATATCTCATTTTATAGTTGAAATTGAATTTTATTTTAAAGATTTAAATCTCATGATGGATGATTTTTTTCAACTTTATAAATCGCTTATTTTTTATCTAACTATTTAATATGGGATGTGTTTTGACATTTTTTATAATTTGCAGCCCCTCTTTTAAGATTTGTCAAGAGTTTGGACTTCAAGAACTTTGTTGGGTTGTCGAACATATTTGAAACTTTGATACCATATATAGAGAGTTAAATAACTAAGATTAAATTTTATTTAAAAGATCTAAGTCTTATAGTGAGTGTCAATTTTTAACTTTATATAACATTAATCTTTTGTTTTAACTATTCAAGTTAAACCTAACTACTTAACCTTTTGGATTGAGATGCATAATTATGATATTAGAATTTTGATAATCAAACGGTTGCGGATTCGAAACTCATCATCTTCACTTCTCTTTTAGTTAATAAGCATAAAATAGTATGTGCATGTGCAAATTTCAAGATCAAAGAGTTTTCATTTGAGAAAATATGCTAGCGAGTTAATATACAATATTTCTAGATTCTCACCTAAGAATTTAAGATTTTGGGTTAAGGTAATCCTTGACATTTGCTTAACAGGTATGTTCTCTAGCCATTACTATTTGTATTCTTTTAAATATATATTTTAAACTTTATCTCATTTTGGCTTTCAGTAGATTATTTTCTATTTTGATTTTTTTTTATATTAAATTAACTCATCTAATAAATTAGAATAAATGTTCCATATATTTTGTTACATAACGTACATCTTCTTTTACATAATTTCTTGTCATATTTATCATAATATAATTAAAAAAATGATTTAGTAAATTATTAATATTACTCTAATTAAAATAATTTTTCATAATTGATATTCTCGGAACTATATTGACTTTGTGGTCTAGGATAGATAATCTATTTCATGACTATAAATTAATTTTTTGAAAATTGCATTTCTCATTATCTACCTTTAGATTAATTAATCAATTGACCATTAGACTAACTCTAACATATCTATATCTATATGCATATTAATTATGATAAAAAGGAAAATGAATTCTCAATTTCATTCTCGTGTGTTGCTAAATATTAGACTAAATATTTTTAATTACAACGTTTGATGTCTAGTTTCATCGATAAATTAAGAGTGTAACTAATTAAAAATTTTGTTACACAATTTATTAGTATTTTTGCATAATTTTCTAGCTGGTTTTATCGCTTTTTTTTTTTTGTAAGAAAAAAAAATCTATTACGTAATTGATTTGTTTGTTATATTATATATTTGGATAAATAGATATGTTATTATATAATAATCTGAGTCTGTTTTTACTTATATTTTTTATATTCCTAAATAATATTTAAGTTTTTGATCTGTTATTTTGATTAATTTTTTCGATCAATGATAATTTTTTTATCGAAATATTTTTAACTGAAATAATAATAATAATAATAATGAAAATGACATGACATGCATGTTATATTTTTAAAGTATTTTTTTTTATGTGACCAAATAAATAAATCACCCAAAAATAAATATACCACAAGCTTAAAGGAAAGAAATTAATTTGAGGAATGTACAATTGGTGGAAGCAAGGGACCTGATTGCATGGGATTGAGGGTGTACATGCAAACAAATAACTAAGAACCTGATTCAATTATTGTTTTGCAAACTTCATGGGAACAGCTATCGTTTATGTAAATGTGAATAAGAGTCTTCTTCAAACCTGCAATTGGGTCTACTAAACGGGTCATCTTAACCCAGTTGAAAATCCATTTGAAAAAACTTGGTTTTTTCTACCAAATTTGTCCAATATTTTGCAAATCTGTTCAATTAAATCATACAACTATATTTCCTCTTCAATTCCCAGCAACTATTAGATCAAACACTCAAATATCAAGAGCAAGCAAGGATTTTCATTTTGAAATCGGGTTCTATTTGGATATTTTTCTCTTTTACATTTCTTACTCAATACTCAATAAAAATAATCAAATAATATATTATATTAATTTCATTTATATAGCTCAAACTCCTGCTAATTTGGAGTAAAATATACCTATAGAACACTTGATAATCACAATTTTTCTTTCTTTCTTTCTTTTCTTTTCTTTTTTTTTTTTTTTTTTTTTGGATAAGCGAGAATCATCAACAATCAAAGAAAACTCGGTACGATATCATCCTACTACAGATAACAGAAAGAAAGTAGAGATGTACCATACTATTTCCCGCCCATCATCTTTTCGCCACATTTCAGAAGGTCATCAGTCAAAGGTATCAACCCGTTTTTTCCCATTTCCTCACACGCTCCTAAAAGCCACGTGTCATTTTTTAACGCAGACAACGGCATGCTTGAATTATTATATATGTCTCACTTAATTGTCACAGGCACTAGAATAAAATATAGGATTTGTTCATCACAGCCTTTGATATGGCCGTTCGATGTCTAATTTCGAGGGTGTTATTATTATGCTGACGCAGTTTCCTTGAGATTTGCAATACACTAACAAGTACTGAAAAAAATTGGATTTCATGTCAGAAACTTTTGTGCTGTTAGGCATGTGTTGCACCTCCAAGTATTAAACAATATTGGATTTCAGATCAGAAACTTTTATATTGAAAAAGTCAGCCACCTAGCATTCAGAAAATTAATTAGAAAATAAAAAAATGATTGGCCTAGATCTTGATAAAAGATTGATTAGGAATGAAAAATTAAAAAAAAATACTTAAAATAGATATCATTTTCAAAAATAAAAAAAATTTAAGGATAAATTTGAAAAGTGAAAAATGTTAAATAAAATAATACAAATTGAAATAAGTACACTTCCTTATATTTTTTCAAAAAACCATTACCCTTATAAAATTATGATGTCTTTTTTTACATCACTAATGTTATGTAGCATTATTCAAATTAAAATTACTATTGCCATGTCTTACCTAAAGTAGGATATATTTCATGCATATGAAATTAAATATTTGGTCTTATTATGTTACGAGTTAATATTTATTTGAGTGAATTTATATTGGATCAATCGAGTAGTTTGGAGTAGTTTGAAGATATAGGTCGGTCAAAATTCTATTTTTATATTCTAAAATATAAAGAAGAGAGTTTTCAAGAAATGATGAGCTCCTAATAGTTAGGGATGATCATTATTCGATTAAAACCAAAAAATGAAATCGAATCAAATCGAATTAGTAATTTTGGTTCAGTTTTTTATAAATTTTTGTTTTAAAAAAATCAAAATCAAAAGTAAAAATTATTTCGATTCGATTTTTTTTTTTTAAATTCGATTTTCATTGAAAACCGAATAATCCAAACAGTCCCTAAGTTCCTTGCCAATTCCAAAGTCCAAACCGCCCCTGAGTTCCAAACAACTCCTAACTCCTTGCCAATTTCGGCTACAGCAAGGTACCAATGCTTTACAAATATTTGTCAGAGATGAGAAGGCAAGGATGTGACTTGTAGGATCCACAGTTGCTGTATTGGTAATTGAATAAGAATAAGCACGCCACTCCAGGAATGAAATTGAATTGTATATTTTTGATGAAAGTGCCAACGAAGAATAAACGGCATGGGTATATTTTGTTCATTGAATTAGCACGTCAGGAGTGCTTGGAAAATTATTTGCTTGAGTTTATTATTATATTATTTAATTTTGTATTTTTAGTAAAATAATTAGTTTTATTTTAATGTAAAATAATTAGCTAGTCATTTATTATTTTTTAAAAATATTAATACTAAGTCTAATTCTAATAGAATAATAAGTTAATTCTTTATTTTAACAAAATTAATATTGAGTTTCTATATTTCCATATTTGTTCATAATTGAGTCTTTCAGTTGGATTTTTGTGATAATTTAGTTTTTTTTTCATTCAATAACTTTCATTTTTAATTAAATTTTCCAATTTTAAATTTTAAAAAATGAAATGTAACCAATTTTGATTAATAAATTAATTTGTGATTTGTCGATTATGTTTGGTATATTAGTGGCAACAAGCTATAAAGGGCTAGGAGTATAGGGCTAAAAAAAAAAAACAAAACCCATGTTTTTAATCAAAAATCGAATCGAAAATTTTGGTTTTTTAACCGAAAAACCGAACATCAATTCGATTCAATTTCGATTTTTATTTTAATCAATTTAATTAATCAAAAACCTAAAAAACACCGAAACCGAATTGAAAAACCGAATGATCACCCCTAATAATAGCTATAGCCCTTAAGACACAAGGATTTAACGAATTCCTAATGACTGGAGCCCATAAATGCAAGGATTTGGCGAGTCCTTAACGATCGCAGCCCATGATCACAAAATTTGACGAGTCCCTAACGATTGCAACTCGTAAATAATAAATTTGAGAAGTCTTTAATGACTGCAGTCCATAATCACAAATATGGGTATCACATTCAATTACATAAAAATACGACATTAACTCTTAGAGCTAATCCCGACAAAATCTGCACATCCCTCAAGCAACATGTTGTAATAATCCGATCTAAAAATAATATTTATGTTAGTATTAAAAAAATATATATTTGGGCTGATATAAAAACGGGACAGACTTGGTTACCCTTTAATTTTTCTTTCTTCTTCTCCTCTCCTCTTCACGCAACTCTCTCTAAAATTTCTTCCATCTCCCACTTTCAATTTCTAAGCCAAGACTTTGTAAATTTAGCTTAGAAAAACTATAAATAAGTAGATTTAAGTGGAGCTTAGCCAATTTGAAGCTTGGAGAGCTAGGATTAAATTGCGGTTTGAAGAAAAAAGTATCAAAGGTAAGATTTTTAATCATTTGATATTTGAATTGTGATGTTTATATGTAGTTAATGATGATATTGAAGTGAAATTGTATTGGGTTTGTGTGATTGAATAAGTAATTGAGTGAGATTAAGGATAAGGTTTTGAGATCCATTTGGGGAAAGAGTTGATTAAGTGATTCTAAGTGTTTGGATGATGTTTAAATATCTTGGGTAAGTGGTTTATGAAGTTAATTTGAAGTGAAATTGAGTAAATTTGAGTAATTAAGGTGTTGAAGATGATGAATGGTGAAAAACCCGAAATTTGTGTTTAAATTGAAAAGAATTTAGGGAAAATGAATAATTAAATTATATAAATGCAATTAAATATGAATAAAATGAGGATTGAGTTAATTAGAATGAAATTGATGATTTAATTGAAAATTTAATTATTTAAAGGTTTGAATTGAATTAGGGAATTGATAATGGATGATTGAATTGTTAGAGAGGTTATAGAGTTTGGTTAAAGTCTTCATTGTGAGTCTTCCAATCAATTCCGTTTATATAGATAATCTTGTATTCTAATTCTAGAATAATTCATTATTTGAATGTTTTTTGATGTATGATATTGATGGTTATTCTATCATTATGTGTTATTAGATTCTTCGGAGCTAGCGACTCCATTTCAACAACCTTGACTCCATTCAATTCTTCGATTATACTATGAGTGGATAATATATAATATGTTGTGTTTTTAAATTCCTTTGATAATTGTACCATGCAACATTGGTTTAAGTACAATTTAAATGCATCCATTACAATTTAGATGAAGACGGATTCCATGAGCATTTAAAATAATTTCGTATAGAATATGATTTGAGATGATCTAAAAAGAGATTTGAGTACATGTTTGATATATGATTTATGGATTTAAATGCTATTTTACTTTAGATGATTATTTTGATTATCCGTATAAATTTGTAAATGTTTATTTGGTATGAGATTACATTATCAATTTAATTTTAAGCATGCATTGTGTTTAGAATACTTGGTTTTGAAATATATATAAGTATATACAATTTTTAAAATATTTTCGAGACCTTAAAGAACCTAGCTATAGAGGCATAGCATTTGAGCTCAATGATACGAGGCTCTAGCTAGTAGGAGAGCTAGAGTGCTAGCTCATGTGTCGATCAATATATGAAAACCTAATCAAAGGAGGCATGACCTTTAGATGTTTGCATCCAATGATACGTTATATTCACCCCATGGGGTAAATAAAAACCTAAACATGTGATTTGATTTGATTATGATATATGTATATTTATGCATTTTGATGATTTGATATAAAATGGTTTTGAACCATTTAAGTTATGATATACGATTTGGTTTTACAATATGCATTAGTTTTGAAGAAACTAGCATTGTATATTAAGTTGAAATTTTAAGTTATTGTCCTTAGTCCGTTTTCCTCCTTTTAGATGTGTTATATAGTATCTACTCATTGAATTATTGATTGCTCATCTCTCACTATTTTAGTTTTACGGGATTTGTGAGGATGCCCTTTTAGCTTCCTTTCGGCTCTTTGTTTTGAAATCGACACATTGACCTTACGACTCACTTTCTTGTAATCTCTCGGAATTTATGTTTGATTCTATAGTATTCTTAAAAGCTCTATAGATATAGTTTGTGGATGTTGTATTAGAAATTGATTATGAATATCGATTTGAGAAATGCAAGAAAAACATTGAATTATGATTTGTGTTGGAATTATAATATGATAAATATTAGTTAAGAATATTACAAATGAAATGATATTTGAGATGATATTGCTCCGATGATTGTAATATAAGTATTCAAAGCTTGCTTGGGTCGAGATGGGCCTAATAGCTCTCTTGATTCTTGCATTGATCGTGACCCACTCCTCGGGTCATGACACATGTTTAATTTAACACAAATGCAACATTAACTTTTGAAGCTAACCTCAATAATTTTGTTACATCACACACATCGTATTTAATCAATCATAAGTTCGATCGATTCATCATATCCACACATCACATTTGTCACTATCCAACATTTAGAAGAGTTTTGAAAATTTTATTTTATGATTTAATTGTCGAAAATTTTGTTTGTTTGTGAATGTGAGTTATTATTTATTTTGGAGTCATCACCTAATATTAAAGTAACTAGAAACCTAAAATGAGAACTGATTCGAGAGATTATTGAATAAGGAATTGGTTATGCTTTTAGGAAGACATTGATTGTCATAACCCAAAAATTTCACCAATTTATTATTTTTTTGTTTCTTTTTTATCTTCATTTTATTTTATTTTTTTGTTTATTTTTCTTTTTATTTTATTATAAGAATTTATATAACTCTCCCGACCTAGGACTTAAATAGGTTAAGGATATTATCGATATGTCCCATAATGAATAAGACACGAGGCACTCGTGTCCTTCTTACTATATTATTATTTATGATTTTACTATGAAAGCCCATTAAATAGTTAATAGGTCCAACCTTATTGGCAAATTTCATTCCAAAATACACTATTAAATTTTTTCTATTTTAACATTTTATTTAATAATATAAACTGAAATAACTTGATCTGTATCTTTTATTTTTATCAAGTTCTTTTTCTTAAAGGCATAATAAATATATTTAGCTAATACCATTTAATCAATTACCTAAATTTTTTCCTTCATTAGTTATTATCTTTTATAAAGATGAATAAATCATCTATTCCTATTCTTTCCTTATTATTTCCATTTCCATGCCCACTTAATTATCCATATTATTATCGAACAGTAATATGTAAGTACCGAACTAAAAAAAAAACTATACCTACACACTACTATTTTATTACATTATTACACGTCCAAAAGTGGTTGACATATATATTTATAACCTACTTTTATTTTTCATACTAACTAGCTTAGTACCACATTATTTTCCAAAAGTGGTTTCACATATTTATAAGTCTACTTTTTCTTTATATGTTAAACATCTAAACCTAATTTACCTAGTCATCACCTTTATCATCATATAAAATAGAGTAGTCATACCGAGTACATAAAACAAAATACCAAGGATCAACAACACGACTATATGTAATAGGTCTAATTAACAATCACAAGTAAGATACACTTTGTGAATGGACGGGAGACTCCCTTCAATAACCATCTCTAGCATGAACATGACCATTATTCTTTATTCTTCACCCCTACATCACAAGAACTAGGTGAGCTATTGCTCGGTGAGTTAGTCATGCATGTTATGCACGTATGCACTTCAAAATTCTTTTCATGTCCTTTTTAAAATCTTTTTTCTTTTTGAAATATATCCTACCAAATGTATATTATACACATATGTGTATACATTTGGTCCTCTTTACCATTTTCTTCTATCAACGCATTATGACATGCATATGCATTTAAATGTAAATGATATCCTCATTAATTAATATAATACATGTGATAAATAAATGTGCATTTATGCAATAAAATTGCATGTCTCAACATAATAAAAATGCACATAACATTCCATTACTTTTTACATTTCAACCCATCACATTTAATTCAAGGTGCACACTCCAATCAAATAAATCATTTGTCACAATGAACCACACATCATCACATTTCACATATTCATGCAATAAAAGCATAAATATATTCTCACATTATCACATTCACACATTTAAGAAATAAAGCATAGAAATATTCACATTTCACATAGCCATAAAATAAAAGCATAAATATAGATATTTATTTGACCTTCCATATAATTAACTAATTAAATTAATTACTCAATTTTCCATTATTATGAAACAATTATTTACTCTACACAGAAGCCTTTTATGCCTCCTCGAGAGGTGCATGTATAAGTCACACATTCCATGCCACCTCAAAACCTCGAGATATTCAAATCTATCGAGGATTGGGCTGAACATAACATTTTAGTTCATTTGAAGCCAGTTGAGAAGTGTTGGCAACCATAGGATTTCTGCCAGATCCTGCCTCTGATGGATTTGATGAACAAGTCAGGGAACTCAGGGAGAGGGCAAAGGAGCTTCCAGATGATTACTTATCCTGACATAGCCTCTAGCATAATCCTTCTCCTTCAAGCTGGAGCTCGGGACATGGTTTCATCTCAAGCTGCGTTTGTGAGATTGAATGAGAGGTTTGAAGTATGAGGGAAATAGATTGGATATATTGAACAAGAATGAACAAAAAGAGGAGGCTAAGGGGAAACACTTAGATGCAATTCTATAGACAGAATGCAGTGGACATACATAGTGGGATGGAAGTTCGTCTTGGAATGTCTAAAGAACCAGCCTGCAAAAGCTTCATATGGTCTGATGAGCATTTCAGCAATGTCTCTAGTTATTTATACTCAACAGGATTTGGTCAAGACGTAGGAGTGATTTCTACTTTGATGAATTTGATATGCTAAAACTTGTTAACATCAAACTCGGTTATTTTATGATAATGGAGTCCTGATTTGTTGCTTTTAATTTATCTATAATCACTATCAATGTTCTTAGAATATCTGTTTTACCCAAGGGAAACCATAGTAATAGTGCAGGTAATATCAAACTTCATATTGTTGATCCAAAAATAATTTTCCTGCAAAATCAAACATATTGCATCCCATTTGATCCATTGAAGAACTTGCCTCCTGTTATATCATCGCTGCAGTAGCAGCTCCTCTCGCTTTCCCACCTGCTCTGCATATTATTATAGCAGGCCACATTTGAGGTAAAATTTGGTTACAACTTTGCAGCAGCATTGAAGGGAAAGGTTGTGGTCTGCTTTAGCTTTATATGATTCCAGTAGTTTAGCAATGCGTCATGAAGGAAAAGGATGTCAACACTTAGAGTATAATCCTTTTGCAGGCTGGTTCTTTAGACAGAAAGAGGAGGCTAAGAATGAACATAAAGCTTTGTTGTGCAAACACTTCTACACATAGACAAAGAAGAAAAATGCAATTCTCATCTTTGTGATTAGTAAAGCATTTGAATGCTAGTTGCTTTTTTTTTTTTTTTTTCTGTTCTTCAGAAAAACAGCACCATTAGATTTTCAGAAGAAGACAGGAAAGAAAACATGAGCACGACGTACAAAAGAGGACGGGAGGAACCAATACTAATTTTTTTTAATATTGTTTGATGTGACAAATTAAGCTATTGTTTGTAGCAAGAAACACACTGAGTACAGAGTTCTGAAACATAAACAGTTAAAGTGGAATTACTTGACTTTATATATATAAGGGAGTGCATATATAGCAGAGATCAACATCTAATTCACCCAGGGATGGGTGTAACGGGGGCTAGAGCCATGGTCCCACCAAAGTTGAAAACTTATCTCTTTTGTACAAATGCAAAATTCAGTGTGATATTCCAAAGAGTTTTATTCAATACTAGAGGACAAAGTGTTAATTAGGCTGACCTCAGGGATTTTGAATGAACTTCAATAGCGACGGTAGTAGCAGTAGTAGCAGTGACAAAATAAGAAAAAAAAGGAGGAAAAAAAATGGATTTTAGCTGAGAGAATTTAAGAAATTAAATAAATAAAAATAAAAGAATTTAAAAAATATCTTAATTGACGATATTCATATGCTAAAGTATTTTTTTAGTAATTGTGATTTTGAATTGTTAGAGTATTTGAACTTTAAAAAATCATGGTAAAAACAACAAAAGAATGATAGAGAAATCTTAAGTTATTTTTTCTCATTTTTTAAAATTAATATATTAAATATATATTATAACACTTAATTAAAAAGATGACATGAATGCCTACATGATAAAATTATTATTTTTTTATATATAAATAAGATTTAAAATACTTTATTTTGAAAAAATAGATTAAAAAATACTTGATTTAGGGGAAAAAACTCCCTAACTTACGTCAGGTGAATTATTTAGGGTTTAATGTGTATTTTATCCTTTAAGTCAGTAATGACATTCTCAATGTTTAATCCTCACCACCCCTTCTCAGTTATAACCCTATTTATTTTTCATTGGAGCCAAAATATATACCTAAGTGTAAATTTTCCATTCATTCTTTAAACTTCACATTACCTTTTTACTCCCACTTTCCATTTCATTAATTTCCTCATTCAAACATATCCAATTATTTAACTCATTATTATTATACTTGGCCAAAATATTACCTAGTATAAATTAGGTATATTTTTCATTTTTCATGCTTAATTTCATCTTCCTTTAACTTAATGCATTTTTATTTAACCTAATTCCCAACTATTCATCCCTTCATTAAACTTCCATACTTGACAACCTAACTTTAAAATTCAAATTTTAGCAAGTTCTATACCAATCATCATTTTCTTGCTACTAATCTTACTAATTTGTCATATTCATCTACCTTACCTAACTTGGTTGTGGAAAACCTAACTTTGGTTTTTTCCAAATAAAACAATATGTAATCCATCATTTAACTGAACTACGTAAGTTTAATGCATATATTGTCTTAAATAAACATTTTAACATTAACTAATATCATTTATTTGTAAGACCTTAACAAATTCACAATCCCTAAGTTTTTCCTAGGCCGAATTTTCATCATCAAATAAGCCAAGGGATTGCTTCCTTTTCTTAATAAATCTCTACATCATGAAACTTAATTTTAATAGTTCTTACATAAAAGCTTCCATTTCCACCAACATCATCACATTCAAACATGTAACATACATCATCTTTTCTTTTAAAATCATTCAATTCACCACCAATAATTAAGTTCTTGTGAGGTAGTGTAATTAACTTTCCTCCAATGCTTCAAATTAATTCCTTTTGAATTGAACCTGCAAGATTTTCTTCCCTCCTTCCTCCTTCAAAATTTCGGCTTCCTCTCCTAAAATTCCTCCTTAATGTTTTTGATTTACCAACTATGATATGAGGCTTGATTGAGTGATTTTAGGATGTTTTTGGTGTCTTGGTTTAGTTGGTTTGTGATTTTGGTGAAATTTTGGCTTATTTTTGCTATTTTTCCACCATTTTCTCCTCCCCCTTCAAGTTGAATTTATAGACAATAGGGTGGACTTTCTTGATTTGACTCACATCCTAGCCGTTCATTTCTTTCCCATCGCTATCCTTGATTTTTCTTTTAATCTTTACCCTTCATCATTTTGATCTTAGCCGTCCATTTGTGCTTAAAGATAGGTATAATTAGATTTTTGTTAAATTGAATAATTACACCCATTAAACGAGGGATGAGGCGGCAACGAATAGCTGTGCAAGAAAATCTTGGCCAAATATATTTATTTTGATCCCTCATTTTATCATTATTTTATTCAATCCTCACATTTTATTCCTTTAAATTTTCAAATGAATATTTTTGGTACTTCCCTTAGGACTTTTAAATATTTTTATGCCCCTTGAAATTTATTTTAGATTTATTTGAGGACCAAAAGTTTTAATTTCATGCAATTGAGTCCATAATTCTTGTGCAATTAAATTCCTATGTGTGCATAATTAATTCTACACGCTTCAGAAAAATAATTTTTTTCATAATAAATTCATACACTTTCAATAGTAATTTATTCATCAATCACCTAATTTTTATGCACTTATTTAGACACTCAAAATAATTATTTTGCACCAAAGGTACTATTTATGCACGGAGAAGCTAATAAAATATTCATCAAGCTTAGAAAATTAACTTAAGTACATAGAATATTCTAGCATCCATCTAACAATTATTCTATACATGCAATATAATTTTCATACATATTTAAAATATTTATTTAAAATTATCTTTCACTCCCAAAAGTTAAGCAACTAAGTTTTAAAATTCTGATCAAATATGTTTTTGATATCTTTAATTGTTTTGTTTAAAGGAAAGTAGTAATTAAAAGTTAGAAAAGCCGGTAACTAAACAAGTTTCAAGATGACCTTAAACTAAACAATTAACCTTATTTCTTGAACTCACAGTGATGTTAGTATAAATTATAATTGTACAATCCTAAAATTCAACCATTAATTAAAGTATTGAATGACAATATATATATCCTTCAAATTTCAAATATTATACTATTCTAACAATCTCTCAATCGTTTTTAAAATTACGTTTCTAACTATCTTGAAGTTTTGTGCTTTTCAATTAATACATGATGATCTAGAGATCTTTATTTTGCCTGACGGCTAATTATTTATCAAAAAAAAAAAAAAATCACGTGGTGTTAATTTTTCTTTATGTTGTTAAAATTAATAAATTCTTTTTTTCCACTTAAATCTATCCTTATTTATTAAAAAAAAAATTGAACAATAATAAACTGTCACGTTGAAGAAATTGTAGAATGTAGTAATATTTTTGTTTATTTATTTGGTATTACATACGATACAAATATATATAATGATTTACAGAGTCAATATCTTAACAATAAAAGAAAAAGGATCCTAGCAATAAAAGAAAATTGTATGGTCTAATAATGAAAAGATTATTTCCATATTAGTACAATATATTTTCCTAAAGTATGAAATAATAATAACATTAATACTTTCTCTCAAGTTGGAGTATGAAGATTGAAAATGCCTAATTTATTTAATAAATCTAAAAAGTGATCCCGATCTGTGAAAATATCGATGAGTTGATGCTAAGAAGGAACAAAACGAGAAGAGAGTAGTTTTGATTGGATGTATTGATAAATGAAGTTGCTTGTCGATCTCTATGTGTTTGATGCACTTATGAAACATTGGATTAACGAGTAATATGAATAGTAGCCTAGTCTCCATAGAATAATGAAGTTGAATGAGGATGAGGAACATCTAAATCAGAAAGTAGGCAAATAAATCGGACTATCTCACTAACGGTAGTGGTCATGGTACGATATTTAGCTTCAACTTGCAGAGCGAGAAACAACAAACTATTTTTTAAAATGTCAAGATATCGAATAAGCGCCAAATAAAATGTAGCCAATGATAAGTTTATTAGGTAATCACTTTTCTTTTTAAATGCTCAAGGAAATGACAAACCATTAATTAGAAGATTTCAAATCTTGAACATTCAAAATAGAATAAGTAATTAAAATGACATGAAAACCTTTCTCATCTCTCATTAAATATGTTTAGGTGTTTATAGTGATATGTATTCAATGTCCCATATAATTTCACATAAATTCCTTTCACATTTTACGCTTTTGATGGTTGAAACGTTCTCTCCTTTTTGGCTGATTTACAGATCTTAATCTTTCCCGCCCATTACTCTTCCTCTCTCTTTTGCTTCTCTTTTCGCCACATGTCAGGAGGTCATTAGTCAAAGGTATCAAATTATAACTTCCTCCAGGCAAACCCGTTTTCCCATTTCCCTAGTCTCCACATGCTCCTTAAGAACTTAAAGCCACGTGGCATGTTTTAAAGAAGACAACGGCATGGTATCATTTTGCCTTTAATGATTGTATGTCTCACTTAATTATGACAAGTACTAAAATAAAATATAGGA